AGTATGAGATTCTGGAAAATGATATCTACAACTTTGATAAGACAGAGTTTTAGATAAGTGTAATTGAGACTATCAGGATGATGACTAAATTTGAAAAAACTAAGAATTTCAAGCTTGTACAGTCTGAAAATCGGAAATGAATGACTATTATTATTGAAGTTAATACAACTGACTGAGTCTTGTGTACAATAATTATCCTCAAAGAAAAGATGCATCTGTTAGGAACTAAATGTGAGCTGCATAAGAAGGAAACTCTCTGTGTTGCTAACTGCTATGTAATGAAATTCTAAGATTGATGAGGAAAAAGAGATGTTAGAGTCTGCTCAGATTATAAACAGCTCACATGATCACGTGACCAGATCACGACCAATCCACTAGGTTACATGTGGGGTGTGGTCACGTGATGGAGATAAACCTAGCCCCGGCGCCGAGCCTAACACATCAATCCTGCTGATATGAGACAGAAGGACTACCACACAACTGAGTGATTGAAGTCAGTGAGAATGACTGAATCACTGACTAGCTGGGCTTGTACTGACTGAAAGAGATGTTCAACAAGGAGATTCTACCCTGTATGAAGGACAGATATCAACTGTTGATTCTAGATTGATACTGAAGTCATGCTTTAGCTGAATTAGATTAATTTTGCACTGAGAATTAGATTATTACTCTTTACATGTTGTTATATTTCTCTCATCTTCTTCAGTCATTGAATGTTAGCTGCTTCTCACACCTGAAAACTGCATATAAACAGCAGATAGAAAATCAAATGCAGTTTGAGATCAATTATATTGATAAGAAGAAGTTTTTAAGTCTTTATTTTGCAGCTCAAATGCAGGCTTTGACTGAGAGCAATATTAAGAGCAGCTTTAAAGCTGCTGAGCTGATTTCATATAATTCTGAGCAGGTTCTCTCACAGCTTAATATTATTATGCATACCTCTACTCTTTTAAAGATCTTCTATAGCTTTCAGGCCTCTTGGATAATAGTTATATTATATAATATATATTAATTAAAGCAGCAGGTTAAGAAAATTAAAGAATATATCAAGTACTATATACAGAGCTTACTCAGTTCAATCAATCATGCTTTAAGTCAGCTGGTCAATGGATATCAAATGATAATACATAGTGCTATTATTCTAACAGCTGAAAACAGAGAGTTAAGAGCTCAAAATACCAAACAAAAGAGAAAATGAAAAAGAAACTATACATATATAGCTTAAAAGAATACTTTAAGAATTGAAGAAGACTTGAATTGTGTATGAAGGATCAATGAATGAAAACAGAGAATGATTGAAACTGCTGAATTGTGATCACAAAAATGTACAGCATCACAGTATAGTATCTATGAGATTATTGAACATATTGCCTGTATATGCTTTAAGTGTATAGAAAATAATTTATAATATAATTTGCTAGATTTTCTTTATAGTTAAGATTTTGAAGACATTCTTATTGTATAAAGAGTAAGAAGTGATTCATTTACTTATTTGATTCACTTGCTTATTAATTATATTATAATAAATAACTTATTAAGTAAATATAATTTAAAAGAAAAATTTTTTTTTAATAAATAAAAATTATATTAAGCTAAAAATAGTTATTTTAAATTTAAATAAAAAAACTTAATTATATAAAAGATTATATAAAAAATTATAACTATTTAACTATATTAATATAAATAAATTAAAAAAAATAAAAGTAGAATATATTTAAATATTAAATTTAATATATAAAAAATTTAATTAAAAATAAAATAAAATTTTATTATTTTATTTATTATATTTATTAAATAAATAATTAATTATTTAATATTATTAATTTTTATTATCTAAATTTATATTATATTAATAAATTTTATAATATTATAGTAATTATAATACTCTTCAATATATAAAAAATAAAATATTTTTAATTTAATATAATTTAACTTAATTTGATTAAGTATTATAATATTAAAAAAATTTAATTTAAACTTTAATTAATTAAAATATAGTAATTTTATAATTTATTTAAATAATTTATTTATTTAAAAATTTATTATTATATAAATTATATTAGTTAAACAAAAAATTAAAATATAAAACTTTATTATGAAGATTTAATTAATTGCTTTGACAAGGTGCTATAAGGGGCTGAACCCCTAGATTCGCTCTGGCTGGCTGACTCAGCCTAGCCATCGTTTGCACGTGCGCACGTGATCATGCTACGCGAGCTTGCTTAAGCTCGTGTTCTCATCTCATTCTTTTCTTCCCTTTCCCAAGCAATTCGTCCTTGTTATATAGGAGGACTAGCCTCTAGTTCTTAGAGCTTAATCCTCTACAGGTGCAAAGAAGCTGCTCACTAGAAGCTTAGTTAGCTGCTGCTCAGCAAGCCTAAGTGATGAAGAACACTCAATTAACTAGTCAACTATGTAGCAAGCTAAGCAAGTCTTTGATGCTTCTTAACGCTTGTAAACAACTATCGACTGCTCATATCATTGATCTGTTTAACACAACTCTCACGAAGAGAAGAATGTAGTAAGAAAGCTGATCAGGGGAATTCTACATCACCCTTCTCAACCCGATCATAATTGGATTATGTGTTTGATAGGGAATTCTTTCAAAGGCCTTCTGCTGGCAATTCCTTCATAGCTTCTTTAATTTCCTCATCTTCATCCTTATGATTCTCATGTTCCGGTCGGGCTATTAAGCTACAATCATGATTTTTGAATTGTTAATAATATTTTAATACGAACTATTCAGTCTAATAGACATATGATCTTTATAACATTTAAATACATTAGAGTGTTGTTGGAAATTTGTGAATTTCATAGACTAGCTGAGAAGTGGTAGGAAGCGTGCGTTGAGTGGCAGATTACGTTGTAGCATAACAATTAATGGAAAAGAATGGAGAAAGAGAAAAAAGGTATTATTCGATGAAGCATAGGAAATGATGTATCTAGTATAGGAGGAGAAGAAGAATATTTCGAATAGGCAGCAGGTATAGAGAGACAACATCCTCAATTCCCCATTAACAGGGCGCATCAGGCACCACGGATGTAATTCCATTCTCTTCCCTTTCTTTAGGGACGCCGTTAACGCGGCCCCATCGATGAGCTTTGTCCCTTAAATCTGGGATCACATGCAGGAAGATCAGATTGCTCGCCCAGCTATTGAACGTGTCTCTGAAGATATTGTTTCTAGGACTAGCCCCGAGCGAAGTTGCTTTCATTATCGAGCCAACCATCGTAGTTGTGATCGCATAATGGCCTCTTTCCAGTCGTTTGATGGCAATCGAGGCAACTTTGTCGGGTGTTTGGGGCTTGTCGGCCTCTTCGAGGTATTTCGTAAGAGATGGCTTCACCTTCTGTTCTTCGACAAATCCGCGGCTCAGGATGCCCATCGGGAAAACAATATGAACTCTCACATCCGCAGTGGGGGCTGGGATGGACGGATTCCTTCTGGCGCCATTGTAAACCTCGATCTCCTGACTCAGAGTGTCCGCAAGCGCGCGTATCGCCGATTTTGCTGGACTATAAGGTCCGTACCCGGTAATCGGCACGAAGGTTGCGGTGGAGCTGGTGAAGATCAGATGGCGCCGAGGAGTTTTCTCTGGAGACTGACCAGGAGGGCCTGATGCTAGCCATAGTTTCAAAATGGCATGAGCTGTAAATGCTGAGGTCCAATAGTTTGTATCCATCTGCGATTTAAGGGTCTCCGGATCGGTATTTACGAAAAACCCGGGTATACACTTCCCCGCGCAGCACCAAACGATGTCTGGACAAATTCCACCATTAAACTCGGTAACCTCAGCCATGACTCGCTCCGATTCTTTAGGGTCGATCAAGTCCGCCTGGATCCAATGGAATTTCTGGCCGCACACATGGGGTGCAATGGTCTAAACATGATTTCTCCCCTCATTAGTATTTATATATATATATATACACATATATATAGAGCAGGCTCAAGCTAGTGTGTTTGAGTGAGCTTACATTCATGGCATCAAAGACAGCTTGTAGTTTAGTCACATCGCGTCCCACGACAGTCACACTGGCACCCTTCTTGGCCAACTCCATGGCTACGCTTTTGCCCATGCCATCCGAACCGCCCGTGATAACGGCCATCTGTGTTGGCACCCCGTTAGCTCTTTGGTGCCCAGGGGCGCGGACAGTGAATAGGGAATAGGAAACGCGACGAGTACATACCCTCCCCTGCACCACAAAATGGTTGAGAGATCTGAAGTAGTCAAACATACTGAGTAAGTATAGGGAGAATATCAAAAGAACGACTGCAGTGATCAGTTGGGGAGTTGACAGGGACAAGCCAAAGGCCGCCGCAGTGATGGAAGATAACAGGTCTGGCATGGTTGGCGAAGGGGCAGGTGCAACGTTATGGGTTTGAAATGTTCCTTCTGTGGCATGTCGCTGTTTGTCGCTGGTCGCGGTTTGCAGGCTTCACCCGGGGGAGGGAAGAGCTGGCAACAATGGGGCGTCTGGTGGCTGCAGATAGCTAAGCTGCGCGCTGGATTGGGGGGGGGGGGTACCTCACGGTACGCTGCTAGGCCCCCGGAGGTAGAAAGTATATGTATGGTAGGGTAGGTTAATTCCAGTGTATCGCAATGGCCTTGTTCGCATGTATCCTTATCCTCTGTCTCTCCCGAAGCGGGTCGAATGTCAACAAGACGCAGCCTTGATTGATGGCGAGTGCCGACTGCAGAGCTCCGGGGTAACAGGGCCCAGATGCCAACCCTGGCCGCTTGTTAAAAACAATTATAGAACGATGCCAAGTATGCAAAAGGAAGATAAAAAGGACCAGGGCCCCTTCAACAACGCGGTTGGGACCTGCGCTTGGCCTAATTGGGACTAGCATCGATTTCTGGTTCTACGCAGCATATATATATATATATATATATATTTTGTTTTGACATGTTCATCAATTAATTAATATCAGTTCGGGCATATAGAGAAACAAAATTCAATTACATATCCCTGGTCTTATTAATCAATCACTTGTCGTGATGGGCAAGAAAAGAAAGGCCGGCAAGCTCTCCTCCTTGAAGCAATCTGCTCCCGATCAAAACTTCACGTTTGCAGCCGATGCGCGCTTCGACGATTCGCAGGACGAGTTCGAGCAGGGTCGGGATCGTATTCTTTTGGAAGAAACCCCGGAGGCAAAGAGGAGGCGGAAACTACAGGAGCAAGGTAATATTTTTACCTTCGGGCTTAATTTTCGTGGAGAGTTATTAACATGTTGTTTTGTAGAAGAGTTCTTTCAACCGTCCGACGAAGAAGTCCTGCGGTACCAGTCTGAATCAATAGACGATGAAGAATTTGGCGATGACGGTGACGACGACGACGACGACGACGACGACGACGAGGAGGAGGAGGAAGGGAGAGATGAGGAAGAAGTCATCAAGGGATGGGGTTCGTCTAAAAAGGACTACTACGATGCAGATATTATTGAAACAGAGGCAGGTGCTTTCGAAGAGGAGGCAGAGGCCAAAAAGATCCAGCAACAGCGGCTGCAGGCTCTCAACGAGGCGGATTTCGGGTTCGACGAAGCTGAATGGGCCGCTTCGGGGAATTCTGCTGAACTGGATCACAAGGCAGAGAATAATGTTGTCACGGAGGTTTTGCCTGAGTTGCAGGTGACTGATGATATGAGTGTTGACGAACGACGGAAGATTCTAAACCAACGATACCCCGAATTCGAGCCGTTGTCAAAAGCATTTCTCTCGCTTCAACACGTTCACGATGAGCTTGCTGCTACAACTAAGAGTCTTGGAAACATGGAAGATCATGAAGGTGACTCCATTCCTCTACCTGTGATTAAATTTCGCGCACTCTCTGCTTATTTGGGAGCTATCAGCATGTACTTTTTTCTTTTGACATCCCCTTCAAGAAATGGAGAATCGCGTTTGGCAATGCCGCCTGCTGAGCTAAGAGATCACCCGATCATGGCCACACTGATTAACTGCAAGAAGCAATGGGACGAAGTAGAGGATATCCAACAAGTCGAGGAATCTGAAATGGAATCGGATTACAACCATGCTGATGACCAGATCCCGCACGCACAAGCACCGGAAACCGAAATCACGGAAACAAAGAAGAAGCCCGCTGAACCCATTCCTGTGACCAAACATAAGAGAACAAAGGCCCAAAAAGCCGTAGAAGATGCTAAAGCTATGGCAGAAAAGAAACGAACCGAAAAACTCCACCAGACTGAAGCTGAACTGGCCGACCTCTCTAAACTGCTAGATTCCCGAACAATTAAAAAGCTATCCAAGCAAACTCAAAAGACCAAACCACGGCAAGACGATGACTCAGACTTCGGTGACGAAACCACCCTCAACGCCCATGAAGCCGAAGAAAAAGCCAAGAAGAGAAAATCCCTTCGTTTCTATACCTCAGAAATTGCACAGAAGGCCAACAAACGTGGCACTGCTGGTCGTGACGCTGGCGGCGATGCAGACCTGCCATACCGGGAGAGGCTAAAGGATCGCCAAGCTCGTCTAAATGCCCAGGCAGAGAAGAGAGGCAAACGGACTCCTCCTGACAACCTCAACGACCTTGGGGGAAACAGCGAGGAGGACGATCGCCGTCTTGCTAAGGAAGCGAGAGGTGACAAGGGTGGAGCAGGCTCCGACTCAGACGATTACTATGACATGGTCGCTGCGCGGTCGCAGCAGGAGAAAGCGGAGAAGAAGAAACTTGCGGAGGCCCAAGCCCAAGCTGTTCGCAAAGGTGGACGTGTTGAGACCCAAGAGGAAATTGGGGAGGATGGCAAGCGAGCCATTACGTACGCGATTGAGAAGAATAGGGGTTTGGCGCCGAAGAGGAGTAAGGATGTGCGGAATCCGAGAGTTAAGAAGAGGAAGAAGTATGAGGAGAAGAAGAAGAAGTTGGGGAGTATTAGGCAGATTTATAAGGGTGGTGAAGGGCGTGGTGGCTACGGTGGAGAGCTCACTGGCATCAAGACTAATTTGGTCAAGAGCGTCAAGTTGTAGTTGAACGGTGGGAATTAGGTGGTGTGGGTGTGAGGTTTGTTATTAGTTCGTTAGACAATTCCGTCGTAATGCTACTCAAATGACAATATACCATCTCTTGGAATATAATGGGGTTGATGAAAGTTGCTTCTTTTTCTTCAACGTAAGCTAATATATGAGCTAAAGATTCAGAGCAATACATGCGAAGTAGTGATATAGCTGAGACAAGATATTACTTTCAACATTTGTCTAGACGAGCTAACTTGGAGCTTGCTGGGCAGAAAAAATAGTAAACATATAATGGAAGTCCCTTTTATAGATACTCGTCCGCACGTCCTTTGATGAAAAGTGGTTTCACGGCACTCAATTTAAGGGGTAACCTCACATAAGCCCACCCATTACAGTGCTATCATAACTGTCACCTATAATATTCTCGAGCAAAACTTCGGGGCGCTCATAACCTTCGCTCCCCGGACCCCAAGCAGCTTCTGTTCTCGAAAAGTCCGCTGCGAGGAATCTCCTCGCTATGCTCTCCTATTTTTAAGTTTAGCATCAACTAAGCTTGTGCACAATCTCCGCTTCATGACCTACAGATTCTTCAAGTACCTCTATTTCACCTGCAGACATCTTTGCGCAAATGACCACAAGGTCTTCACCACGGGCAACGAGAGTACCAATTTCGTTTGCTCGTGCGATTATCGCTGGATCAATGCCATTCAATGCTGCACAGCTGTGGTAGGCCCCGTCAATACGGTATCAACAAGATGTCAGTAAAAGAGGAATGCAAAACGTACTTGGTCCCAAAACTGGCATTGCTACGACCGGACCGGAAACTGGTAACACATATATTAAGAACCAACGTCAGGTTTCCGCGGACAAATGCATGTTCAGAGCGTCAGCACTCAACTTGTATAAGTACGTGACCTGATTTTCCACATCCCTCGCAGTCGGATCAACTTGTACTTCCATATACCCAAAGCCAAGCTCCCTTCTTGGTGGTAGAAATCCGTTCTCGAATATTTCGTGGAAGTGGGTTGCAGCCAGCACCTTTGGCCTCTTCTCACCCAGACTCAGCAAGTGTTCAAATAATCCACAGGCAAGGCCGGCGCCATCTATGCAGCCCCCATTAGATATAGGTCAGTAATAGGTAATTTTCTAAATCAGCCGGGGAATGTAGCAAACCAGTTGACTCTGTTCCCTTGCCAAATTCGTCGACTATAATAAGGCTTCGCTCGGTTGCGAGGGTCAATGCATAGGATATTTGCTGCAAGTCGATCATAAAGGAGCTCTGAGCCTATTTAACATCAGCATACTGTGGAAATATTTCTTTAATAACAGGAACACATCTTGCCTTGGACACAGTTTCCCTCGTTGCTATCCGGGTTAGTATTTTATCTGTGACTCCAATTCTAGCACTTTCTGCAGGGACGAAACTGGAAACACAGATCAGTTTATAAAATGACATGAGGATTTCGCTAGGGTATGACAAAATTACCTCCCAATGTGTGCCATGTACACAATTAGAGCCACCCAGAATGTTGTCAGCTTAACTCGTTTGTTGGGATTATTTACGAGGAGACAAACCTGTTTCAAATAAACACTTTTTCCAGAGTAGTTTGGGCCTGTCAGCAAAAGCATACTTGGGCCCTGAGTTTCAACAATGACATCTGAATCTTCCAGGAGTGGAGCAGAAGGGCTTGGGGATTGTCCCTCTCCTTCGCTTCCACCAACGATGAGGGTATCATTTGGGATAAATGTAGGAACGGTAACTTCATGCAAAAGATGGCTATATTCAGTCAGCAACAAAACAATTACCATTGAGCGAAGGCGGGGCTCCTCACCGCCCGCCCTTGATTATGATACTGTTGTCCTGCGTCATCTGTGGTCGTATAAGCTTGTATAAGCTAGCCCCTTGAACGAGAGCTAGAAGGCTGCAAGTTGTTAGATGATAAACAATGATGGAGGGAAGAATGCAGCATATACGCATACCTATCTAATTCTCCGCATATATCTGAGGCTTCCACAAGCGTATTTTCATATTGAAGGACGTTTTGTGCCATCTCGTAGACGATTTCAATTTCCTTTTCTAGGAGGGATTAGTGATCAGTGTTGAGTCGGGTTCACGATTCTTACCACAAATCAGCCCGTAGATGTCTCCAAACCTTTCGTCCATTTCTCGCATGCGGTAATCTTTGAAGTAAACTCGATTTTCCGTAGTAAATATTTGGTCCCACGGCTGATTTCCGCCATTGTAAACGGCTCTACCTCTTTCATCGAGTGGCATAGCAATATTGAACCCAAGTTGGGGAAAGTAAATGACATTAAGGTCATTACTTAGTCTTTCGGGGATGGTGCTAGCAATATTTATGGTCACCTGGTTGAGCAAATTGTCCAGGCCATTGTATGTTTCCTTGAGATTGTCTAGTTCTCGATCCATCCTTTGCTTGACAACAGTTCGATGCTCCTCAATCGAGCTTTGAAGGTCGACCTTGTTGGGCATGAGCCATCTAAGTTAACTTTTATGCTGCTGGGGACCCCACTTACTGTTTCATGTATGATTCTCCCAACCTGATGCAGAATAGCTACATCCAGTTTATCGAGAACCTGGGCCCTGGGTCAGATAATTCATATATGATTCCTGAGAACTCTTACCTTCGCATGTATGTCCAGATTTTCTGCACCTGTAACCGTTCGTATCGTTTCGCGCACATCTATAGCGTGAAAAGCAAACTACAAAATCCCCAATTAGCATAGAAGTACAATATCAGCAATCACACCAGGGACAGACTTCCAAAAGCGTTGCCCAAACGCCACTTTTGAACACTTTGAACTTGGCATTTCCCGAACTGATACCCTTTCTTACATGCACCATCACTGGACGTAAATTCTTTATCCCTCTCAAGCTTTTTGCAAGCTTTTCGATAGCCACGTCATTGTCGGAACGCAGATATGTGCTTATAAAGTCATGTCTCTCTCTTATACATGCGAGATCCGTGCTAGGGCGAAGAAACTTTCGTCTTAACCCAGCCTTTCCCTGAGGCGTCCTAGCAAAATGATGGAAAAGGCCAAATATTGACAGGCTCTCTTTAGACCCAGATGAAGTCTTTCCAGGCCCTTGGTTAAATGCGTTGGGATGAGACTCAGATTGGATCACCTGGAGCGACGTGAGTGTATCCGTATTGGCAAACCTTCAGAAACGTCAGTGATAAGGCCAAAATTAGGAAAATTACAATAACCTACATTGTTCCTTTCAGGCTCCGTATTTCAACGGACTGAACGTCAAATCCTTCATTCCCGGAGTGGTCTCGCGATAAGCACTCTGCTGCACGTTTTCTCTGCAAGTACGTAACGATAGCACCGGCGCACCCAATAGATATACGATTGTTCATGTCAATAAAACCAGAAAGGTTTAGTAACTTTCCCTGTTGATCGGTAAAGCCCAGATCGGTTTCGCCACCATTTTGATTCAGCGAAAAGGCATCGCTAGGGACAAGAAATTGTGTATCGCCTCTACTTGGGTCAAGTCGAAGGCTAGCAAGCTTGAGCTTTGCACACTCGAAGCTAAACTCCTGTACTGGTCTAACATCGACGTGATAGGGCAGTTGGAATTGATCATCTGATAAACGACCTTGTAAGCAAAGAACAAATGATAGCCACTAGCAAAGGGAATAGTTACCACCGTCCACTTGAAGATCTTGCGCACCCTGTTTCAATGCGTCTGTGTTTTGGTCTGCACGAGTTGAGAGCAGAACCAGTGTTGGTTCCACATCAAGCTTTACTGCCAAAAACAAAATCAGACCGGCAGCCATAACGGGATTGAAAAGGAGGGGGGGAAATACTCACACATCTCAATTATCTCCTGTCCCCCAGAAGCAATATCCTCAAGTAGATATATCTTTGCCTCGTTCGCGACATAATAGCAACAACCAACACTTCCCCTTTCTTTCATGTCCAAAGCCATCACCACCTGACACAGGTCTTCATTTTCATCCTGCTCCTTCTCACAGCCATTGACCTGTTCCGGACCAAATTCACTTAATATTTCGTTAGTAGCAGAATTCTCAGTGCGTACCGCAGTTAAGGACGCCCCCGCAGATGATGCTATCCGATCACGTCTACTGTCAGAGTTCTGGTTGAATGATGATCGTTGGTGGTGCCTCGTTACCAGATGTTGGCTACCACGAGAGGAACCGAATTTCCCTCTCCTCCTCCTTGAGGGTGACGACGCCATCGTTTAAAAGGTAAATGTGAGACCTGGCGTGGTATCATGAGAAAGTTTGGGGGTTGGGTTAGAAGAGAGATAGCCCCGGAGCCCTGGAGGGGAGTAACTACCCCGATTAGGCAAAAAATTTATAACTGCAACCTAACAGCATCGAGGTCACGGGCTCTGCACTTAAGCAGACCATTTTGATCTTGTGCAGAGATGGTGGCATTTGAGGAACATTTGCGAGTATAGGCACAGTATCTAGATTTTGAAAGATCAGAGATATTTAGTACATGTAGTATAATACAGAGTGTAGTGGTTATAGAACCCACGTTTTGTTCAAAATGTGATGTCACATTCACGTTTTAAGAAGACCCCGACCTGAATGGAGATGCAACCAGTAATGAAACAAAAAGAGGAAAAAGAAAGAAAGAAAGAAATATCAATACAAGTAATGCACAGACATTATGTAGCTTCTTCAGTTGCGACGTTGAGACCAGACTTGTCAGCGTTGAGAGTGACATGCGCCACCTGGCCAGTAGTAACTTGCCCCCTGATTATTTTGTCCGCTAGACGATTGCCGATTTCTTTCGCAATAAGTCTGTTCAAGGGACGAGCTCCATATCGTGGATCGTATCCCTTGTCACAAAGCCAGCCTTTCACACCATCATCTACCTTCAAGGTTATTCTTCGATCATCCAGCCTCAGTTGAAGTTCTCGCAACCTAATGTCTACAATATCCCGCAGCGCTTTTCTTGAGAGTCTCTTGAAAATAATGAACTCATCAATCCTGTTCAAAAATTCAGGAGGATATGACGTCTGAACTGTAGCCATAACAGCTGATTTTATCTCCGTCGAAACCTCCTCTCCAAGGGTAGGATCGGAGCCAACAAGAATTTCTGCACCAAGGTTAGATGTTAACACGATCAGAGTGTTCCGGAAGTCGATTTTATGACCCTGGGCGTCAGTGAGGAAGCCTTCGTCTAGAACCTGAAGCAGAAGTGCTGATATATCGCGATGGGCCTTCTCGAATTCATCGAAGAGTAATACGGCGTAGGGTTTCCTTCTGACGGCTTCTGTTAATTGACCGGCATCCTCATACCCAACATATCCGGCAGGAGAGCCGATAAGGCGACTAACAGTATGTTTTTCCTGAAATTCGCTCATATCAAACCGTAAAACGGCCGATTCGGTCGAAAATAGGAAGCCTGCCATCTTTTTGCAAAGTTCTGTTTTACCAACTCCCGTTGGTCCCAAGAACATAAAAGATGCTAATGGCCGATTTTCTCCGCTAAGCCCAGCTCTTTGCATACGAACAGCATTAGCCACGGCACAGAGCGCTTCATCCTGCCCACGGACTGACTGTCTTAAAGTGTCTTCCATGTGGATAAGTTTCTCAACCTCTCCGGCCATCAACTTGTTAACCGGAATGCCTGTAGTACGGGATACCACACCAGCTATATCATCGCTCGTCACGGAATCGTGAAGAAGCACCACGCCATCAGCTGTGGTGCTGGTTGCCGTGTCCGACCCTTCTTTTGGAAGTTTGTTCTCAAGTTTTGGAATTATCGAGTATCGTAACTCGCTGGCTTTGGCAAAATTTCCTTCGCGTTGGGCTTGCTCTAAATCTACCCTTGCACGTTCCAAATCCTCCTTGGCCTGTTTAATGGCGTCAAGTTCCGCTTTTTCCTTTTCCCAGACATCGGTAAATTCCTTGACTTCATCTTGCTTGGTTTTCAAGAGCTCTTCCAATTTCTCCCGGCGCTCCTTGCTTGGAATGTCAGTCTCCTTGCGCAGCGATTCAAGCTCGATTTGAATGGTCATAATTTGTCGGTCAAGCTCTTGAATTGCATCAGGTTTCGACTCCTGTTGTAATCGAAGAGCAGAGGCAGCCTCATCTACAAGGTCAATCGCCTTGTCCGGTAGGAAACGATCCGTAATATATCGATTGCTGTATGTAGCAGCTGCCACGAGCGCACTGTCTGTAATTCTTACACCATGATGAACTTCATATTTTTCCTTGATGCCCTCTCAATATCGATATTGTGTCAGCCACTGACGGCTCTTCAACAACGATGGGCTGAAACCGCCGAGCAAGAGCAACATCCTTTTCGATCTGACGATACTCGTTCAACGTCGTAGCACCGCAGCACTGCAGCTCACCACGGGATAAGGCAGGCTTCAGCAGGTTGCTTGCGTCAATGCTTCCCTCTGCCTTCCCGAGCCCAAGTAGCGTATGTAACTCATCCACAAATAATATAACACCCCCTTGGGCTTCTTCCACCTCCTTCAGCACTTTCTTCAGTCTTTCCTCAAAATCCCCCCTGAATTTTGCACCTGCAATAAGTTGACCCAAATCCAATGAAATGACGCGCTTATTCTTGACACTCTCTGGGACGTCCCCTCGGACAATTCTCTGGGCCAGGCCTTCGAGAATAGCGGTTTTGCCGGTGCCGGCAGATCCAATTAGGACCGGATTATTCTTTGTTCTCCTTGACAAGATTTGTATTGTCCGCTGAATTTCCCCATCTCTACCAATGACAGGATCAAGTTTGCCATCCTTTGCTCTAGCGGTAAGATCGACTCCGTATTCTTCTAGTGCAGACTTTTCCGGCTCTCCACCCATATTCATCCGATGAGTTCCGCCTGGAGGGTGTGGTCTACCGTTCGCATAATGGCGAACACCACAGAATTTATATAAGGGTACGTTTGAGAAGATCCGGAGCTGAGAAGGCCATTGTCTTAATAGTTCCGTCCGGAAAACCGGTGCTCGTGCCGGGATTCCAAATCTTGAAGCTGTTGCAGAAGCTTGAAGCAGCTGAGGACCGCAGCGTCGAAGTTTTGATCCCTGCATTGTGATATGCTGCCGACAATTATCCAAAAACGAATATCTCTAATGTGGAATCTATAAAGTATTCATACCGCTGAAAGCACAAAGAGCTCAGATCTTCCACAAAAAATACTTGGTTTCGGATATTATAGCTATGGATGTCAAACAAGGTTTCGATGAGATCATGTAATATATTGCACGTGACATGGTGGGTTGTTTATGTGCGCCAACTCTTCCTATTACGGACTAGCGCCCGATACAACCAATGAGAAGTCCAACATGTGATTGGGCTTTGCAACCCTGGCTTAGGTAAACAGCAAAACTTTTGATTAGGTAACTAACAAAAACTCAAACCTCCCTAATTTTTTTGTCTCTTCCTCAAACCCTTAAAAAAAGGAATATCTACAATACCCACCATCATTTACATGCACTTCTAATAAGCCCCTATTCCTCCCTTCTCGCCTGCAATGGGTTTCACAGACTTTTCCTCCGACTCTGGCCTTGCCAGTATGTATTGTTGTCCTTTCCCCGAGCTGCATGATGTGTTCTGACCAAACCCTCCTTTGATCAAAGTTGTCAACCACTTCCTTTCCATGAGGAGCTACGTTGTTGGGTGAGTTCAATACGTCCTGTCCTATTTTTCTCATTTTCATGTCCATTGCTATTTTTAAATGATGAAAATAAATTGGTCCGTGTTGATGAGGCGGCTTAAGACACCGCTGAATGACTACTTCCTACGCGAAATTCGCATCTCTGAAAAAAAATTACCCCACCAGTGGCTTAACTCTGTTGTACTGCAAGAAGCTTTCCACGAAAGACACACCATACTAACTCGAAATCAGTTATACCCCAACCCAAGCCGACGTCGTTACATTCAAGGCATTCAAGAAAGCCCCCGACGCTGCGAAATATCCCCACGCTGCGCGTTGGTACAAGCACATTTCTTCATTCGGAACAGAATTCACTACCCTTCCAGGTGACCCATCCAAACCGTACACCGCATATGGCCCCGAAAGCACCGATATCCCAGTGAACGTCAAGAAAGCCCCTGCCGCAGGTGAGGACGATGAAGACATGGATCTTTTCGGTAGCGATGACGATGAAGAAGATGCTGCCCTCGTTGCTGAGAGAGAAAAGAACCTCGCGGAGTACAGGAAGAAGAGTGCGGCAAAGACTAAGCCTCCCGCTAAATCTTTCATCACTTTAGATATTAAACCTATCGGTAGGCTCTATTACTCTCCATTCGGCATTTCTCAGCCTAACCGTGAACAGATGACGAAACCCCCATGGATAAATTAAAGGTTGAGGTTAAAAAATTACTGGAAACGAAGGAGGGTCTTAAATACTCCAAGGATGAATTAAAGCCTGTTGGCTATGGTATTATGAAACTCCAGGTTCATTTTACTGTCGAGGACGAGAAGGTATCCGTCGATGACCTTCAAGAAGAGCTGGAACAGACTTTCGAAGACTGGATTCAGTCAACTGATGTTGTAAGTGTTCCCTCCGCCAGCTCTACAATATTGTTTCATTTCTAATGTATTACTTCAGGCTGCTATGCAGAAAATGTGAGTGGTGATTTGCGTTAAGGACTGAGAGGAGTGGAGGCCATCGCGTGTTTTAAATAACCCGTGATACGCTAAGAAAAATAATAACATCCCAGTTGACTCTTGATGTAGAGGGTAGCTAAGTCAAGAATAGTTAGCTCCTCATGAAAGTAAATGAATGACATGTCTGCACAAAACATACTCCCAAATTGAGTTTTGTTTACTGAAATTTCCCATCATAATGTGGATTACTGCACCTCAGACCCTTCATTCGGGCACGAAAGGTTGGCTGGCCAAGAGTACTGTACGTCCATCCCATTGGATGACGTTTAGCAAGGGACAAGCAGATATGAATCTTGGAAACAGCAATCTGGTTGAGGGAGCTCAGCACGTCCTGGGTGGGTCTTTCAGAAGGGGTTACACTTGGTCTCCTCAGCTACGGATGGCACTCCATGCTATGTCAAACGGTTGTATCTAAACACCTACCTAGGTATCTGAAAGGATTGATTCTTTCAGCCCAGAGGTCGAAAATCTTGCTGTGCCAGGTTTGCTACAAGGACCACTCCATTCTGAAGCCACACGTGGAGAGAATCCGAACACACTCTAATAATATCCGGGTAATCCCCCTCAACATCCCTTGGGTCATCCCCCCGCTCACCTTAATCGCTGCCTTGACCAGCATGGACCAGCATGGACCAGCATGGGGGGTTAAAATTAAATGCAAAAAAAAAAAATAAAATAAAATAAAATAAAATAAAATAAAATAAATAAAATAAAATAAAAAAAATTTCGTCCCTCTGGCAAGTTTTTTTAATCCCTTTAGACGTCATGTCATCCATTCCACTCTCACGACGAAGAGAGACGTAAAGTAAAATAAAATAATAAGCAAAGAAAACAATAATTTGATAAGAAGGCCAAAAATAAAAGATTCAACTCCCCGTTTGATAACTGTATTTATTTATCCTCTAGGGAATTTTTGATCCTCTCATAGTAGAATGAAAGAAACTTGGGAGCCGTGCACATCCTCAGTTACTGAGAGCAGATCGCACATATAAAGCTCCATTTGCAAGTAGTAGATCCACAATACCTTCATAGCCTTCTATAAACAGCTTCAAGGGTACCTCCAATCCCAGGAGTGCGAGAATTGACATCTGCCCCTCTACCGAGCAGAGGTTTGACGATATCATAGTAGTCAAAAAGTGACCCCTTTTCGTAAAGCAGCCTCATGTCTATCAACTTATGAATTGATATCCGCTCCCCTATCAAGCAACAATTCCACTATACCTTTATAACCTGAACTAGATAGCTGAAGTATTCATTTAAAGGCCCGAGAGAACGTAAAGACGTAGATTCGCTCGCTTCATCCTCGCGGTGCTCAACCAACACTACAGACAAAAATAACACTATTGCCCCATGACAGAAAAGTATGAGAATATGTGTTAAAAAATGCATACTGTCCAGAGCACAAGGAGAAGAGTTGAATGTACAAATGTGTAAATTGTTAACTTCACTTATAAACACCTATCAATTCCCCCCCCCCCCCCAAAAAAAAAAAAAAAAAAAAAAAGAAAAAATCAAAAAATCAATCCCAAACCCTCACCCCAGAATCCCACATATCGAGCAATAAAATAGACTGATGTTATAGTGAAAAGCCATATATATTAAAAAAAAGCAGGGATTTCTGATGTTGGGTATCTCATATCTCACCATAAAACCAAAACCAAAACATGTGAAATTAAAAAAAAAAAAAAAAAAAAAAAAAAAAAAAAAAACCGAAGGGAATGTAAGTAAACATACTCCTGATCTTCCCGTGAAACATGCAACTGGGTCTATTTTCCTTTTTCTCTAGGTGGCAATTTCCTGTTTGCCCAACTTAATCACCTGGGCAAAAATATGAAACAAGTTGAGGCATAATATATATGTGTGAGGAAGATATATAGTAGAAGATCAGTAAATAGGTAAGTAAGTAATTAAGATTTTCGCCTATCACGATAACGTTTAACGGAATTTTTGGAAAAGCTTTGGAAAATCCGGGAGGGAACCGAAGAAATATGCATCAATCAAAGCGCATTGGTTGAATTCTGCCGAGAGCTTCCAGTACTCGGCGGTAGACTGCCGCCACTGACGCTGCCCCCTTCGCTACTAGGAGTTTGAGGCTCCGCAACGACCTGTTGTCGAATGCTGACAATCCACTCATGCTGTAGAAGTTCAGTCGCACTCGGTCGTTTAACGGGGTCTATCTCAAAGCATCGCTTGATGAAATCGATGCCTATAGGGCTAAGTTGATCCGGCGTAGGGAGTTGTGGTTGACTGCCCTGTGCAATCTTGTACATGATTGCCCACTCGTTGTCCACACCTGCCCAGGGGCGGTGGCCTGTGGCCATTTCGAGGATTACACAGCCAAGAGACCATATGTCCATGCAGCCGTGGCGGCCGGAGGTGTGGCCTACTTCTCCCCTGACAAGTTCTGGGGACATATACATCGGAGTGCCAGTCACAGATTTTTGGTTTCTCTTCTGTCCAAGTGCATCCTTCGCCGGGCCCCTTCCATCTTTTGCATTCGATGAATAATGATCCATGGCAGCCAAGGTTTTGCCCTGGCGCGCGATGACCATTGCCGCACCGAAATCTACGTACTTAATGACTCCGTTATGATCAAGCAAGATATTTGCAGGTTTGATATCGCGATGGACAATTCCAGCCTGGTGTAAGTAGGCCAGCCCCTCAAGCATCTGGAGTGTGTATACCATGATAACCATCTCGTCTTCAATTCGGCCATGCTCTAGCAGAGTTGCAAGAGATCCACCAGAACAATATTCCATGAAAATATAGACCTTATCTCGATGCACCTCGATGCCGTAGTATGAAATAATGTTGGGATGATCAAGAACTTCAAGAACACCCATCTCGTCGCGGATCTGCTGTGCAGCACCAGGAATAACAGAGGGCTCTTGGAGGCGTATTTCCTTCACCGCCATCAGATAACTGGTATCCAGATCAATGGCAGCGTAAACTGAGCCAGATGTCCCTCCGCCAATAAACTGGCCTTGCTGCCATCGCAATGTCACATTCGTTGCTGACGAAGACAGCACAGTAACGGACCGATCTGCTTCATTGGCACCTTCCAGAACTTTACCCAAAGCTTGCCTCTTGGCATCAGCCTCGATTCTTGTCTGGTCGATCTCTGCGAAAAGGGCCTCCCGCCTTTCTTGTACCTCTCGTGATGCCTGTGCATCATCCATGATCCGACTCAGGTCCAGTTTTCTGAACCTTTGTCCAGAGGGGTCAGTGTGTTGTTGTTCAGCTTGCGCCGCTAACGACGATCTTGCTCCCATGATATCGAAGTGAGAAATTAAAAGTGACATGCACCCAGCAACTTTAACCCGTAGGCGACTGTAATCTTCGTTACTTATAGCGAGAACGCTTTGGCCATGCGTTACTATCATAGCAAATTCGAGCGCCGCTACAGCCCACTTGAAGGTCTTGCGATCGGCAGCATCGCAGTCATCGCAAATAAAAGAGACCCAATCGAGAGCCAGCTTAACAAGCTTGGTATGGTTCATCGAACGTCGGTTGGCATCCATATACATGAGCGAACGTTTGCCAAATTCAGTAGCAAACGCAAAGCAAGATTGGATGAGTTCGTGATTGGCTGCATTTTTGCTTTGTCGTCTGACAATTTCGACGCTGTCGATGATTCCGGTTGAGAGTTTGTAAGCTGTCTTCTTAATCTTGTTCAGTTCAACATTGACACGACCTAGGTTGGCACGCTGTTCGACAGTAATATCCAACTGTAGACCTGTTAGTCTAGTTAATGCGTGGCGTGCATTCTGAAGCCGTTGTTGAGATCCGTCCGCGACTAATCGTAATTTGCCCAATCTAACATCCGTGGGCTGTTCCAAAAGGTCCACCTCCATCCTTTTGCCATTCCATTCTAGAGGCTTTTCGGGGAGGAGGACGAGAACGTAAGGATTAGACGGATCCTCGGGTAAATCCTCAGCACGGAACGACGTGCCCAGGATAGATTGTATATCTTTAGGTCGGCCGTATAGTGAAGGCGACGCAATGAGACGAACTCCTCTCTGGCCCACCGAATCGTGTGAGATCACCATGAAATGGCCAGAGGCCAGGAGAGCCTCTGATAACGTGTCCACCATATCCTGCCGCAGGTTAAATTCGGTTGCATTTTCGAACCGCTGGCGCAAGAGACGTGAAAACCGGAAAAGTTTTCGCTGACGAACCCGTACTGAGTCAAAAATTTGTTTATAGCGTTTCTCTGTCTCAACAGCGTCTTCGCCCGGTCGACAAGACAATTCCCGCTCGAAGTGGATCATCAATCGTTGCAAGGATTTGGCGGTTAAAGTGCTGCAAATGTATTAGCGACTACTCTCAAATGTCTCTAATACTGAAATAGGGGCCAATGCATACCTGAACTGTTCAGCTACTTCGATGTCACCATTCTCGAGTTGTCGGCCAATATCATTAGAAAACTCCCACTCCCCTTCCAGTATCTCCGCCTCTTTAAAAGTATTTTTATTGGCACTGAGCTTCCAATTCAATAATTTGAAATAGTATTTCAGGCCGCCGACAACAACATTGTCAAAGTTCTCGTCAACACAAGGGGGGAGGTCCCAACCGGGTTCAGGATTAGAGATGATAAGGTAGCGTTGTTTGATGTCTACAGCAACCTTCAGCAGGATTTGGAATTGGGAAATCATTTGATCAACTAAGATAGGAGATTGCAAGCCCGGATCCTTCATCTTCCTGGCGTAGGAAAGACGAAGTCGGATGACCTCTTGGATAAGGCGCGAAGGGAAGTTTATGAGTGTCAACAGTTCCTCAATGTACGGCGGTAGATGCCGTTTTGCAAACGCTTCCGCGTTCTCAATTAAAGTACTTTTGGCTTTTTTGATCACACCGCCAATACCATCCAGGATAGAGGGTTCTTTTTTCTTATCATGATCATATACATTCTCAGTGCTTTGAAGTGTTTTGAGCCCGTCTTCCTTCATGATACGATCGAGAAATGAGCCTTCGTCCGATAAGTCCGCTGCATAGGAGGCCATAGTCATGGGCTTCGCGAAATCCAACTCTTCATTCCCCACCCACCTTTTTAGGATAGCGAGTTCAGTGTTAATCGACAATGTCGTGTTATGCCAGGCGATGACAGCGTCACAGCTCTCTTGGAATTCTTCCGACGCAGCACGGGGGTGTTCCGCTTGTAGAATACGCCGGCTAGGGTATAGACTCTCGCACTGTTCGATTTTCTCCACGATATCCTCAACCTGCTTCAGCGGGGGTTTCCCAACTTGTGTTTCGCCTTTGATCTCAAAGGAAATGATGTCTTCGATGATGGGGCCAAGGTTGCTTATTTGATACTCGACAAATTTCTTCTGTAGAGAGATAGGTCTTCCAAATCTGGCAGCTTTGGCTCCGAGGAAAATTTCCGTATTCCACACCTCGCGACTCTTTTGCTCCATTGTCCCAATCAACCTTTGCTTCTCCTGTCTGATGACATCGCCCTTGAGCACCGATGCTAGCATGGAATACCATTCAAGCCTTTCTTTGTTTTTCGGATCTTGTAGCTCCTCCAGTGTAGGTTGGGCATCATCATCTTCTAAGATGAGGTGGGTGTCTGGGTCGAAAGGGTCAGTGTCGAACTGTGACTCTGATGAAGGAGATTCTTCCTCTGGCTCAGAGTCAGCTCCAAAGCCCGGGCCCGGGATCTGAGACTCAAAGTTGAGCCATCCATTGTGCCCCTGACGCACTCGTTGAACATATGCTCTCTCCTGGGCACGATATCTAGCATCGGGATCTCGTCGTTGGGGGCGTTTGGTAACGGACGGTATCTGGACGCTGGAGTGGACTGAGGTAAATTGGGGAGGCTTGCGGGGAGGCGCATAGGTGTTGGAGGGAGTCCTGGCTGGCCCGGAGGGTCGCTGGGGTCTCAAGTCAGCCATGTCTGGGGGAAGGGGTTGGTCGAAGCCGGCCAAGGATGCACCAGCACCGCTACTACCCCGTGGACGCGTGGAAGAGGAAGGCCATGACGGAAAGGATGATTGCGTGGGAGCCACTGGGACGGGGGAGAAGGGAGAATTGGGCGCCAGCGGGGTTTCTGGTGGTGGTTGGTTCTCCTCTGGGTGTGGGCACAGGTCTGAATGCTCGCCGTCTGAGGAGAGGAGATAGGGCGGGTGAGGGGTAAAGTAACCGGTATTGGACCTTGGCCTGCCCGTGGTGTCCAGGACAGAAGAAGAGTCCGGGTGATCCATGGCTTATAGGCGCAGCACGGGCGATTCACCCTGATGCTTCGTGCATGGCGGTGGTTTGGCGCTGGTTGCCTGAGGTCGAGGTCTGGTCCGTCTTTGGAGCTTGCTCAAAAGCTCAACGAAGGTTCGAACCACACAGCACTAGCCCCGTCGGTAAGGTTCTGCCGGGGTGCTGTGGCGGTGCTAAGAGCCAATACATACACACAGCAGTAGTTAGTGCTCCGTACCTGGCTGAGTATCCACCTTCGTGGTGCAGCACGGATTATAGACTAAGATATAATAAATCCTTCCCGCGTCGACATACTTAAACCCTTCATATATATATATATATTAGTCTACGGAAGTGCTGTACCAAATTGACATCCATTATTATTATAGCTGGTGATCCATGCAAGCCCTGACCATTTTGAATCAGATGTAATTATTCCGTACTATGAAACAAGCCGTCTTTCTCTAGTTCGTGGAGCATACCAAGCTCAAGTTGTGTCGAGGGGTGGAGCTTCTCTGTAAATCATTCAAATAACTAGGGGACTTCTGGCGAAGCTTCGGGCAGCTTCAGGTACAGTAACTGCGTGCAAGCCACAACTCCAATTCGCAAATTAAAGGGCGGGACGATCGATAATCACAATTGAAATAGCTGCAGCCCGCCACAAGGAAGATGGGGGTGGAACGGCGGTGGAGATCAAACAGATACTAAAAGGCAGGATAAAATCACTTAAGAATAATAGTCACATCAAGAGGCGCAGTCATAACAACCTCGAGTCATAACAATCTCTTATCAAATGAACAGTTGAAAGCATCTCAGCGTTTGAAGACGGTTATGCCCTCAATCAGAGGGTTGAGACGCTGAGTACCCGAGCTCGGGATTCTCCGTCCGTCAATGATGGCGTGAGAGTGCGATATACAGGCGGATCGTCAAGTACGATAACTTATTTAAACATCCGCCCTCAAGAAGTTGCGCAAGGTAATAAAGATAACTCATCAATGGTTAAACCAGGGGATACAGTTGAAGGGATTATAACTTAGATGGTTTAGAAAAAGAAAAAAAAAATTACGGAGTATATATGTATCTATCATTTTTGTCTTCCCTTACGCCGACCGTTGAACCTTGGATCGGATGGATTCCATGGCATGAGCTCTCCCTATGACGACACAGGGTTGATAATGAATGGTTGATCGTAGATATGAAAATCGACAATGACGCTTAATCGCTTGGCCGCCGGCCCGCCCCCTCTCTCACTTGAGGAGGCCCATTCATTGGCTGACCAGGCGACTAGCCATTTCTCCTTAATCTTTCCTCCTTTCGCGAGTGAGTCGGGCTGGTTTTTGGGGATGGAAGAGGTCTGGCAAGCCGGCCTTCCATCTGCATCACTTTGCCGTGAGCCTGTGATGCAATGGATATATCCCATTTTCATAAATATGCTTGCGGACATCTTCATCAGCGCCTGTGTGATATGGCTGCATTTGGAGATTATTGAATCCATAGTTATGCAAAGTAGAATGTTGCCATGGATCTGAGGCTTCAGGCCCTCTGTTCGACAGTGCTATGACCTGTCCTCAATAGCTGTATTCCATTTCCTTCACTCCTTTTTGCGTCTTGTAGGCTTTTCGTGTGTCACTTAATGGCAAAGAACCCCCACACTCTTTAAGGCAGAGTAAATACATCGGACAACTAAATGCATGGATGACCCGCTTCGACTTAACTCTCCTTGAAATCGGAACTAAACCTAGTTTGGCAAGACGGGCATCAACATGGGAACCCTTAGGCATCATCTCACCCACCAGCTTCATACTTCAGTATTCACATCCACACGCAGATATCTCACGTATTTTGGCTCTTGGTCTCCCTTTTCATTTTAATGCTTAATTCAAACATTGTATACACCCACAGAAAACTGAAAACTCATTCCCCTTGCCGCATAACCAAACATGGATGGGCTTCCAAATCCTTCCGAATCGAACACTACCACGACTCGAGCGAGCTTTCCCCAGTCCCCGTCTGAATTTCATGACGATTACAGAATTTCCTTTTCCAAACTTGACGAGAAGTACTATTTGGAGGCTGAGGATGGGACAGAGTGGGAATACGATAATGCGCTGAATAGATGGGTCCCCCTGGTAGGCAGTTCATGAAACTCTTGCTCTCTTCCCCTTATTCTGCTGGTTGGCGCACAAAGGCTGTGGTGATTTTCCCCCTCCCCAACTCCCCAGATGGCGACATCTCGGGATCGGGAAGCCATGATAAGCTGCTGGCACAAACAGAGGGTGTGCTTGGAAATGCTGTTTGGGGCCAAATATCCAAAATACCCAACGCTTTGCTTGCGCAGCACCCCTCCTTTGTTTCGCCTCCAGTATCAGGGTGGTAAAAGAAAAACAAAATCGAGAAAGAAAGAAAAAATGAAAAGAAATATTAAAATGCCATCCTACATTCCCGTTGGATGCAGGACAGTATTCTAATTGCATGACCTCTTTGGTTTATTTTTGGTCTGTTGGGTGAATTACATAGGTGGACGATGCCCTCTTAGAACAACAGAGGGAGGCGTACAAAGTTGAAGGCGTAAATGAAGACGAACCAGTCGATCTCAAGCAGCAACAGCAGCAACGGCGGCTGAAGCGGAAAAATTATACCGGTGACCAAAATGTTAGTTGGACCTTTCTACTTCTTCGCATGAGGTTATCATAAAACATGCAATGAACATATATGCTGACGAACCTTTCATGAACCGATGTTTAGGATATCAAGCCGACCCAAGTCTCTAAGCCCAAGAAACCGCGCGTAAATACCGCTGTCTACGTTACATCCATCCCCCTTGACGCCTCAATAGACGAAGTGAACGACGTATTCAGTAAATGCGGAGTCATTGCCGAAGAAATCGACCGGCGAAAGCCACGGATAAAAATGTATACTGACGATGAAGGGAAGTTCAAGGGGGATGCGCTGGTCGTATACTTCCGACCTGAATCTGTCAACCTTGCCATCCAGATGCTTGATGATACAGATTTTAGGTTTGGAGAAACGGGACCCGAGGGCAAGATGAAGGTCCAAGCGGCGGATTTCTCATTTAAGGCACAAAAAGAGGCACCGGTCAAGCAGAATATGAGCGAGAAGAGGAAAATTATGATGAAAACTCAAAGGCTGAATAGGTTGGTGTTCGCATTTTTGTTTGGTATTTTAGTGGCTAGTGGAGTTCATTTATGGACCTTAAAGGTAGCCAAGCTTCATGTTCATGCTAACTATTTGTTATAGCAAACTTGCGGACTGGGACGATGATGAGCCGTCGACTGCTCCAACAAGTTCTTCCCGATGGGATAAAGTGGTCATTCTCAAACATATGTTTACGCTACAGGAGCTTGAGGTATGAATTTCTCATCATCCATCTATATAAAGATATGACACATTCGACGAAATATCCGTTGTTTCATTTCTTTCCCCCCAACCTCCCCTTTTGAGGAACATGAGCATCCCACACTAACCCAAACGCCCATTCCAGGAAGACCCAGCTGCAATCCTCGACATAAAGGAAGATATCCGACAAGAATGCTCGAAGCTAGGCGACGTCACCAATGTCGTACTATACGACAAGGAGGAAGAGGGCGTAGCTAGCGTACGGTTCTCAGATGCCGAATCTGCAAATACCTGTGTTCAGGTGAGTCTCTCTACACCCTACCCACTACCCCATCGCTCCCTGATTTACTCAAATTATATGCGATTTGCAGCTCCTTAGCTGACTCCGCCATTTCAAATATACCTATAGAAAATGGACGGCCGGTTTTTCTCAGGCACGCGGGTTGTAGCATATATCGCCGACGGCAGCGAGAAGTTTAGGAAATCGAGTGCGAAGAATCCAGCTGCTCTGGCTGCTGTTGATGCGGAAGGGGCGGAGGATGCCAGCGAGGAGGAAGCTGAGAGACTTGATAAGTTTGGCTCATGGTTGGAGAGCGAAGGGAAAAGCTAATCTATCTATCTCCCCATTGACATCCAGCAGTTTCTTGTCTTCGTTTTCATTGAGATTAGGACCGGTGGGTTCACGCCTATACTTACTGGTGTTTACTGACTTTACTCATGGTGTACTCTGATTGTTTACCGTTGTCTTCTATTATTATTATTATTATTATTATTATTATCATCTAGTTCATAGCCAATGGCCCTCAGAGGGCCCATCCCACCGGCAGGCAACCGGAATCACAACAGATAACAAATCATGGCATGAGCAAATGACTGACAAATCTTTTGAGACTTCGCTGGCTCTTCATAATGAAGCAATATAATTGAAGTTTAAAAATTTGTGTTTGCAGTATATGATTTTCTTTTTTTTTTTTTATCAGGAGCTGCATTCATAACTATAATACTGCAACGTTTAAGTATTAATTCAGAAATATAAGTATAATATTCTCACCACACGTTACACCACTTCGACACTTGCTTGGAGAGAATTGTAGATGCAAGAAGTTTCTCTTTCTCTGACAATAAAATGAACAGTGGATCAGATAAATTAAAGACCTGAGTGAGGCGTTTATAATTGAAACATTGAGCTTGCTCTCTCAAAACTAAAGTAATTTTAACAAGAGACACACACATACACACATGCATGCACTCACACATATGCTGGCAGCATATGGAGGGTGGGAGTTGAGCTAAAAGTGCTATGTGATTGAGTTTGTGGTATAGAATCGATATGTCGCTACCAAACAGAAGAGAACAAAAAAAGAAGCACAAAAAAACAAGCTATTAGAAGTAATGGGGCTAAAGTACTATTATACTTTGCTTTAACTTCTTCCTCTACTCCTCGCCCTCCAGGACCTCTTCCTCGACACTGTTGAAACAGAAAATTCATTGGTTAGTACGAAAGGAAGCAGAACAAATCATACCCAACAGAAACTGGGGGGGGGAAATAAATCTTACTATTCATCCTCTCCCTCGGAAATGCTAGCCTCCTGGTACTGCTGGTACTCGGAGACCAAATCGTTCATGTTGCTCTCCGCCTCAGTGAATTCCATCTCGTCCATTCCCTCACCCGTATACCAATGCAAGAAAGCCTTGCGTCTGAACATAGCGGTGAACTGATCACCAACACGCTTGAAGAGTTCCTGGATGGAGGTGGAGTTTCCAACGAAAGTGGAAGACATCTTGAGACCGCGAGGAGGAATGGAGCAGAGAGCGGTCTGAACATTGTTGGGAATCCACTCAACGAAGTAGGTGTTGTTCTTGTTTTGAACATTGCGCATCTGATCTTCGACTTCCTTCATGGATACCTTACCACGGCTATGGGGAAAGAATGCATTTAGTTAGGAAAAAGGAGGGATGGTGACATAATGTGGAAAAAGCTTACAAGATAGCTGAGCAGGTGAGGTAACGGCCGTTACGGAAGTCGGAAGCAGCCATCATGTTCTTAGGATCGAACATCTGTTGAGACAATTCCGGAACGGTGACAGCACGGAAAGAGTATGCGCCACGGCTGGTGAGAGGAGCGAATCCGACCATGAAGAAGTGAAGACGAGGGAAAGGAACCATGTTGACGGCGAGTTTGCGTAGGTCAGAGTTAAGCTGACCAGGGAATCGTAGGCAGGTGGTCACACCGGACATGACTGCGGAGACAAGATGGTTGAGGTCGCCATATGATGGCTCAGAGAGCTTGAGAGTCCGCATGCAGATATCATACAGAGCCTTTATATACATTCAGCGATCCCATAACAAAAATTGGCCATTGACAAGACGAGATTGAAGACATGCGGAAACCATACCTCGTTATCGATACAGAAGGTCTCATCAGAGTGCTCAACGAGTTGATGAACTGAGAGGGTGGCATTGTATGGCTCGACAACGGTGTCGGAGACTTTGGGCGAAGGAACGACGGAGAAAGTGGCCATCATGCGGTCTGGGAATTCCTCACGTATCTTGGAGATCAACAAAGTTCCCATACCGGCACCGGTCCCACCACCAAGGGAGTGAGTAATTTGGAAACCCTGGAGGCAGTCACAGCCTTCAGCCTCACGACGGACGACATCGATCACCTGGTCCACCAGCTCAGCACCCTCGGTGTAATGGCCCTTGGCCCAATTGTTTCCAGCACCAGACTGGCCGAAAACGAAGTTGTCTGGACGAAAGAGTTCGCCAAAGGGACCGGCACGGACTGCGTCCATGGTACCGGGCTCCAAGTCGACGAGGACGGCACGGGGGACGTACTTCTTGCCAGAAGCCTATATAATGGATTTACCAGTTAGTTGTTGGATGGATCGCCTCTGATGTTGGGGGACCGTTCTCCCACCTCATTGAAATAAACGTTCATGCGCTCCAACTGGATATCGGAGGAGCCATTGTAGCTATGGATCAAGTCAGAAGGGGCTCGTGCAAGTCGAATTAATCAATTTCATAGGGCATATAGTATAGCACTCACAAGCCAGATCCGTCGAGACCATGCTCACCAGAGATGGTTTGCCTGTATATACAAAAATAAAGGAAAAAAGAAAACTTTTGGTCAGTACAACAAATGTAAACAAAAACATGGAAAAACCAAAAAAATATCAGCCATGTGATGACGGTGGGAGGATTTGACATACCAGAAAGCAGCACCAATTTGGTTACCCTAGTGATCAAACAAGAGCGCGGAGGTTAGAAGCCACGAACCCAACATAGTAACATCAAAAAGGGGCAGATAGAAACATCTTGCTCAATGGGAAGAGAGGGAGACTGATTTGACATACGCATTGGCCGGTTTGGAGATGGACCTAATATAGATTAAAGATGATAATCAAATATGTTAGCGACTAGGTCTTAACATTCACAGTTCATTTCTCCCATTTTCCAAGGGGATTCTCTGGAGGGATTGTATGCTGTGGAGGTACCACTGGGGGGGGATCTAGGGGTGTCTGCAGTGGGGAAAGGACATGGAGCAGCCAGACACAACAAAGCCTGGGTGTTCCAGATGACGCGTGACAACAGGGAGGAATCAACGTACGATTTCACGCATTATGGATGGTAGAGGATGCGAAGGTATGAACCGGGAGGACAGGGGGGGGAAGGGAGACCTCGAACAACAGAGACAAGGTGGTGGTGATGGGCGAGGTTTGGAGGTTTGGTGGTGAACCAGGGGGCGGTGTAGGAGGAAGAGGGTGAAGAAAGGCTTGATTGAGGAGGTTAAAACTCCTTGGAACAAGGAGGAAGCGCGATGTTTGTGTGTTGTAGCGCTAGTCCCGTTGCGGCTAGCGGGCCTAGCAAAATCGGGACTAGCGCAGCCACAGGCACAGAACGTTGGGGAGAGACGCTAGTCCTAAAAGGGCGATGGTTTAGCTTATTTAGGACTAGCGGGCTGGTCATCGCTGAGGATTGGGCTGTTCAGGAACGAACCAACAGCCGATCAGAACATTCAGACAGATACACAGCATTCTCTCTCTACAGCTCAAAATGAATTATCGTTGTCGATGTTACAGCTGCCCCAGATACCTACATCCAATCACAGAAATACATGATATACACATATCGATAACCAAAACCATATCACCCCTTCAATCACCCAACCAGAATCCCTCTCTCCCACCCTCGCACGAGCGCGCGCTCTCTCTCGAAATCAGAAACCCAGAGCCAAAGAGAAACAAAAACTCACTTCAATTCCCTCCCAAACCCTCTCTCCAAACCCGACCTACTCATTGCTAGCATACCCAACCTTCTCCAGCGCCTCAAACTCCTCCTTCAACGCCCTAACACTGACAAACCGACTCAACAACCCAGCACTGCCCGCCTTATCGTTCGTGCCCGATACCCTCGCCCCTCCAAACGGCTGCTGCCCCACCACAGCCCCCGTACACTTACAGTTGATATAGAAATTACCCGCAGCATTACGCAGCACGTCCTCCGCATATGACACCGCCGCTCGATCCTGCGCGAACACGGCGCCCGTCAGTGCATAAGGGCTCGTGGTGTCGATGGTGTGGCAGATAGATTCGAACGCTGTCTCTGCACTTTTTGCAGGAGCAGATGAGCCATCGTGTTCCGCACCATCGTCATAAATGTGGACTGCCAGGATGGGCCCGAAGAGCTCAGTGCTAAGAATGGGATGGGATGCATCATTTGTCGCATAGATGGTGGGGTGGATGAAGTATCCCGTGTCATCACTGTAAGTCCCGCCAACGAGCAGTTCAAGACTGGAATCCTTATTCGCCTCGTCGATGACAGATGAGAGTTTCTTAAACGCCGCCTCGTGAATTACGGGACCCATGAAGTTGGTGAAATCTTCAGCATCGCCGATCTTTATCGCCTTTGTTTCGTCGATGAGCTGGCGACGGAATTCGGGCCAGATGCTCGAAGGGACGTAGGCGCGTGAGCAGGCGCTGCATTTCTGGCCTTGGAACTCAAAGGCGGCGCGCACGGTGTTCCGCACTGCGTTGGGGATGTCGGCGCTCTGGTGGATGAGGTGGAAGTTCTTTCCTCCTGTTTCACCTACGATGCGCGGGTAGCTGATGTACTTGCTGTCTGCGACTCCCTGGGCGATTTTGCCATACAGGGATCGAAATACGGCAGTGCTTCCTGTGAAATGCAATGCAGAGAAATGACGGTGGTTAAGCACTGTTTGGGTTATTTGTTCAGCATCCCCAGGGACGAACTGAATGACTCCGTGGGGGAGACCGGCTTCCGCAAGGATGCTGTAGGTTAAAAAGTTCGCTGCGACAGCGAATGGTGATGGCTTCCAGATAACCACGTTGCCCATCAGTGCTGGTGCCGCGGGTAGGTTGCCGCCGATGGCGGTGAAGTTGAACGGGGAGACTGCGTAGACGAACCCTTCAAGGGGGCGATACTCCATTCGACTTTTAGGGGAGAGTCAGCTATTATTCACCATTGCTGTCTTTCTGTGCAATTCGAACAAGCGGATTGCTGGAAGTGGCGGTGAGAGTGTCCCCCCATTCAATGGGGAAACTAGTGAGAAAAGCAAAAATGGGCGAACACTTACTTCCAAACTCCAGGAGAATTGTGACTTGGTTGCTGCGCATAAAGCTCCGCTGCGTACTGGACGTTGAACCTGTTCGTAATTATCTCACACCATCAATATCCATTCCATCATTTACGCACCAGCAAAAGCACAATCGCTAAACTAACAGGCAAATACACCAACCTCAAGAAATCACACAACTCCGCGGCAGCATCGATCTCCGCCTGCCACGCATTCTTCCCTTGTCCCACAATCGTGGCCGCCATCAATTCATACCGATACTTGGTACTGATTAGATGAGCTGCTTTCAGGAAAATCGCTGCACGGTCCGCAAACGGTAACGTCTCCCATGATTTCTTAGCGGTTAATGCGGACTCGATAGCCTCAGTGACCTCTTCGGGACCTGCTGCGTGAAATTTGGCTACGGGATTGGTTTTAAATGCGGAGGGGTTTAGTTGGGTTTGAAGGGGCGAGGAGGTGGTTACCTGTGAGAGGTGAAGGTGATGATGAGGGAGGTTAGTTTTGTTAATTTTCCCATCTACGGAGTTCTGCTCCATACGCAGACAGTTATAAGAATAAAAAGGAACATGAACGAAATGAATATATATGCACGTACGTGTTTGCCTCCTATCAGAAGCGGAATTTGCAGAGGAGCCTGTTTCTTGAATGCCGCAATTGCGCTTGAGAGTTTCCCACGCTCTGGCGAGCCTTTGGCGTAATTTTGCTGGTTGAAGATTTCCCCTCCGGGAAGCGGGGGTGGTGAGGGGCGGAAGCAGTTAGCTACATCTATTTTATGCACTTTCTTTAATATTTCCGTCTCTCCTTACACCCATTTCTTCCCCACTCTATACAATCACGAGAGATACTCGAAAATCATTTTGCTATTTTTTTTTTCTTTTTTTCTTTTTTTTTAAAAAAAATATATATATTTTAAACTCACCGTTGGCTCGTTTTGCACCACCGGCGGCTTGAAGGCAGCTAGAGTGGCCATGTTTCCCTTTCAGTATTGCTGGTATAGGCAATCTTGTTCGCGCGTAGAATAGACCTGGCCGATGATAGTGATAGCTCTGATGTTTGGTGTGAAATTGCCAAATGTTCAAGTCCAGGAGAAGAGGAGGAATGGAAAGGGCTGAGGGGAAGGTGCTTCCTAGCGCTACGATATTAGTCATACAAGAATGCTTGCTTGAATGAGCGTTGGTCGCTGTGTACGAAATGCCAGAAGAAATTTTTATTGGATGTAAAGCCCGTTTTAGATCTGCTGAGAGTATCTAGATCAAACATGGGTGACATCATCGGATGGAGGCGAAAGGGGTATACATGGATGAGTACGGCTTACCGCGGATATCCAATGTCGAAAGTCAAACTTGAGGCGTATGTATTTTGATTGCGCTAGTCCAGATTGAGCTGAAGAAAGTGTGGGGTAAGAACCTTAATTGTTGATGTCAACAAAACGCACAGACAACTCCAGACAACTCTCAGGAAACTCCCCTTTGGTTCATCAAGGAACCTTGAGTTTATCCTCATCAATCACTACTAAGAAACATATCATAGTATATATTTCGAAATAAGATGATTTTAGAGTACCTCTACTCAAATTCTTCGGCAGAAAAACCCCTGGTATTGCATTACTTCAACTGACACGGTGTCTGGTCTATTCTCCTTGACAAAAGAAACAACAAACAAGAAGGAATGAAAGAAAGAGAAGAGATATAGTTACCTAACTAAAGTAATTGGGATATCACGTAAAACACACATCACCGAAGTGCACAATTAGCACACGAACATAGCACTGACACCCAGAACAAATCACCCTGCCTTCCAAGGCGCTCTCTCCAGACTGCCATGGGCAGTCGTCCATCTCCCCACTAAAACGAGTCAAAATCTACTTATTTGATTAAGAATGGACACTGGCCAGTTCTCTCTTTCACCAATCGCTCTTTTGTCAGCTTGGCCTGCTCGCGCCCTTTGCCCTCGAAATTAACTGGTCCGACATCCGGAATATAATATCCGTTCGGACTATGTTTGGGGTCGTCGCCGGGCAGAGGCAGCCCGCGGATCCATGTGATCCACGCCCTAAGGCCCCATCGGTGCATGAAAGTTGGTCTGACGTAGTATGGAGCACCTTCCCAGGTAAGGAAGTAATGGCGATCCTCTCCGCTGGTGCCGGGGCTGATACGGCGGTACCGCAAGAACCGTGGTCGAGGAAGGGAGAGGTGGCGGAGGTATAATTTTCGAAGAGTGAAAACCGTGGAAAAGAGGGCCTTATAGATACTCCCTGGTTTCTCATACCTAATTTTTGTCAAGCATGGCATGGTGGTTAGTAGGGCATTTGTAATCGAATATATAGAAAATAAAAACAACTAAGCTTACATCATTGCCGTCCGCAAACGATCATCCATCATATAAAGTACCATATTGCGTGCCAGAGGCCTCATAAAACTAGGGTAATCCCATAAAAGAAGCGCAACCGTCTGGTCGGCATTTTTCTTATTCCATGAACTTGGAACCATGGCTTGCTTTTCGTACTCTTCGCTCCAAACCTCGAGTTCCTCAAAGAAGTGGATACCGTCCTTGAAGCCAATCTTAGATGACGGTAGATTGTCAAAGCTAATCAGCATAGCATCGCCAATACTCCTCCAGAATGTCCCCAAGGCACATTTCTCCATATCTGAGATCTGGCGCCATTCGTATTTTCTGATCCATCGGGCTGGTTCTAGTGCGAACAAACTGAGCGTGTAGAGCATATCATCGTCCAAGATTTTTCCTGACGCACGGTACCACTGGTGAAGATAGTTCATGCGTGCAATAGCTTCGCGAGTACGCTCTGAAGTCGGCGCGTTTCCAAAGAACTCTGAAATCAACACTGCGGTGTCCGCATAACGCTTCATCGAGAATTCGGGCCTCGCAAACTGGCCGGTTTGCACAAGGGTTTTGGAGATGGTGGGAATTCCATAGGTCTATGTTTTATGATGCATCAGTCGCAGCATATGATCTTGCCGATGAACAGATCGCAGACATTGTAAGAAACGAATAGAATTTAGCGGAAGCGAGAGCACCATCAAACTTACCCTAAACAGAGAGAATTGCAGTGCCTTGAGATGAGTGAAAGGAAACTCCAGCTGGGCAGTCTCCAAGACAATCTCCCATGCGTCATCATCGGACATACCAGCCATTGACGCTCGAGTTGGATAATTGAATTTCTTCACGTTATTCTTTATTCTTCGATTGCGGAGAATGGCCACTGCAAGCAGATAGGCTAGTGAGCCTAAGATCGGGACAGAAGCCCATTCCTTTGCAGTTGCGAGGAATTTCTGGGCCACAGGTATAAGGCCAGCGTAATCTACGAAGGATAACATGGCGCGGCTTTTCAGTCGATTTGTAGAGTTATATCTTTGGATGGCTGCAGAGATGTCGGCTTGGTTGATTAATGTTGCCTCTGCTGGCGTAACGGATATCAAGTTAAAACACAGCCAGGAACTGGAAACGGGACGGTAGATGAGATAGAAGATTTAAATTCTAGACGAGCAGCTGAAGGCTAGCTGCGACGTCAGTTGTTCTGTTGCCTGCCTCTCTGCTGGACGGTGAATTCGGTGTCGCATATGGGAAGCTGAACGGAGAATTTGTGAAAGTCACCGCAGCCCCGAGGTTACACGGGGTAGTGGGGTACAATTAAATACATCCTTGAAAAGATGGCGCTTTGTGGTGACCGTCTTCCCCTCTTCGACCGGGGGAAAACTTGTGGTGTCTTGGCCTGATGGGATGAAGTTGCAGGAATGTTCTTCACCTGTGTAGAGGTAGTTGACGAAATAACCAAGCGGGAGAGTTTGCTCTGGATTTGCTGTCCGCCTAATCTCCAACCTCAGCTGTAGTTCACGCTCTTTAGCGCTTTGTCGCTGTCTCCATATCACCAGCTTAAAAGTCCGCCCCAAAATGCACTGCGGTCTTCAAGTAAGAGCTGATTGTATATATGTATTATTTTTACATGATTCCAGCACTCGATTTGTGATAAATTTGTGTCATACATTGAGGTTTGTTAGCCCAACAGCGCCAATTGGAAGCAAAACATTTATATACAAAAGTTTCCTAGTTACGTTCGGAATGATTAAATAGCATGACACGTTCTCCTTGTGTATACTCACTCGTGCCGTTAAATATGTATGGCATCCGTGTATGCCCAAATTTACTGCGTGTGAGATCGCATTAACGGGTTATTATTAACTTACTCCTCCGCACCGGGATCAGAACCAATCTTTCATGGATATCAGTTCCAGTCAGTCAGCACCGAAAAGTTCGGAGAATTGGCACTGGGCAGAGAGTGGAGATTCGTCAAACGCCCGATACTATTTAGTCACAACAGATTTCACTCCGTTTCCCTGTAATTCATCTCGGTCACTATACGTCACTAGGGGCGAGCTGCTTTGGAAATGTTGGAACAGGACGAATTTTGAAATTGTTTTCTCGGTGCTTTCGAAACAAGCACGAGGAAAGGTCTATAGCCTAAAATACAGGTGAAAGGAAAAGGGAATAGAAGGAAGATTAAGCAAAGAAACAGAATTCGACATTCAGAAGGTAACCCCACATTGACATACATACTATCGGCGCCGGATAAGGGAGTTTGAAAGTGGCGAAACATGGAAGGGGGAGTCAGGAAAGAAGACCAAACAAAGTGATGAAAGAAAAGACAAGAAAATCCACAAACTTCAGAAGAATGAGGAAAACAGCCCTTAAACTTTCTCCTAATCGACCGATGGTGTAGTTAACAAAAACGAAGAGAAACAAATGATGACGAAACAGGGGTGTACATATTTGCTATTAAAATGAAATAACTGGATTTAAAAAGGAAAGGGGACATGGAAAGTGAGTTTGATGAAACAAAGGAGAGGTGGAGCGAAGGGAGCCAGAAAGCTGATGGCCCATATGCTGCGGGAAACACGAAGAGAAATATCGATAATGAAAGTAGAGAGAAACAGAGGACGAATGAAAACGTCGAAGCCTGCAGATGAGATACAGCGAGCAGAGGCGAAAGAAAGGCAGCTGGGTCAAAATAGATGTAACTACTCCACAAAAAAAAGAAAGATGAGAAAAAAACCTGATAGGTGCTGTAGCCGGGATAGGAAATGGGAATAAAAAAGGTGGAAAATAATGCCCTAACCCACACGCCATGCATATGCAAAATGCAAATGTATTGCTGCATTGTTTATTTTAATTTCCAGTTCTTATGAACACTAATTCACCTTCCAGAACTGAATAAACCGTACTAAAAGTGGTTTCTAGATACCATCATAGAAGGGAATATAATCAACACCAAACACAATCCATGATTATCATCGAAGCCTAGATGTTGGCAGCGGTGGATTGAGGGCGACGTGTAGAATAACAAAGCAGCAGAGAAAGCTTTGAATAGGAGATAGAAGGTAAGTCCGGTAGGCAAGAATTTATTCGCCCATGGATTATATTATCGAAGATGTCAGGACGGCGATGTAGTTTGGTTTGGAGGGACGTTGCTACTTGACCGCCGCCTCGACTGTCTAGAAGTAGACCGTCGCCCACGACTTGGAGGATTCGAAGGGGAAGATGGGCCATGTGCAAATTGTGGCGTCAATTCTGGGTTCTGACTGGGAGGAATGCTGGAAGACAATGAATAGTCGCGGACTATAGGGTCGTCCTCCTGAGTATCAGGATGGATCTCAATTCCTTTTTGGTGGACAAGACCAGTATGGGGATCGGAGCGTGAAAACTTTAACGAATCGGCTTCCCCTGGGCCTCTCTCCACGGGTGACCAACCAGCAACACTGCCAGCAACTATACCGGCCATAGCTGCTGCGGGTCCAAATGCTGAATTGGATCGCGATCGCCCGTTGCGAGATCGTGAATCTGGCGTTGCAGGTGAAGGGAACAAACTGTCTTGGGCAACATCGCCGACAGGAGTATGAGGCATAGAGCTCTCCCGGGATCTCGAACCGCTCCTCGATCTTGGAATCAAGGTCTGTGGATTCTGTAGTTTGTGTTTCAGGTGCTTGAGCCGTCCACCACGAACAGTCTTGAGGAATGCCAGCTGATCTCGGATTTCTTCCAGAGCCGGGTTCCACTCGAAACGGTCCTCGTCGGAGACAAAAACTTGCGGCCCCGTCTTCTTCCGTGTCCACATGGGAGGGACTAATTTCCTCGCAAACTCATCGGGGATAAGTCTAATAACCACAGCCACTGGTATTGACAAGAGCCCTAGAATGATGGAGATACCCCATTCGACACCGTTCAGGGGTTTAGTACGGAAGGCTTCGCCACCAACAAATATGATCAGAACCTGACCTGCGACAATAACAACTTGGATACCGATGAACCACCAGTTGCGCAGGATACCCTCGAATATATTGACGTCATTGTCTATTCTCCGGGAACTGCCCCAAGTAAAGTATGATTAGCATTCAATATTGGTCGTTCATAGCGATATTGGAGGGAACTCTTACTTGTACTGGTTGAATATCTGCATCCACACAAATGTGTTGAAAATTAGGGCTTTGAAGCGGTTCGTTTCAGAGCGGATGTCTCCATGCTTGAAATCGTAGTTCAGAATATTCGGCCCAGCAAAATTGAGAACGAATATGACAACAAGTTGATAGATCGACTGTCCTATTATCATTTTCCACATGGTCACGGAGATTAAGGGCGCAGATTTGGGCTCGGGCTTTCGATCAAGAATTGTATGAGTTGGGGGATCAGTTGCTAGAGTGAGTGTCAGCCGTATTTCTAATTATATTACGGGTTGCAAATCTAATTGTGCGAAATTACCTAGCGCTAGAGCAGCAAATGAGTCCATGATGAGGTTGACCCATAGAAGCTGAACGGCTGTAAGGACCGATTCTTCATCGTCACTGGCAACAGCAGAAACAAATGTGACAATGACAGCTGTAATGTTGACCGTGATTTGAAACTAAGAGACCCAAGAATTAGTCGAGTTAAAAATAAATAATTAAAATAAGGAGTCGCAGTCCTCACTTGTAAAAATTTCTTGACGGCATCATTAACTGTTCTTCCCCAAGATATGGCCTTGACAATCGATGTGAAATTGTCATCCATGAGGATAATCGAGGAAGCCTCTTTAGCAACTTCGGTGCCAGCAATACCCATAGAGAAACCAACATCGGCTGCCTTCAGCGCAGGGGCATCATTAGTTCCGTCACCAGTGACAGCAACAGTCTCTCCGAGCTTTTTCAGACGCGTAACTAATACCCTTTTATCTTCTGGGCTGGATCGTGCAAGGACCTGCAATCTTGGTATGATCTGGTTCATTTGTTGGGAGCCCAGTTTCCGAAATCTGGGCCCTTCCATTGCGACTCCTCCTGGGGTAAAGATACCACACTCCTGAGCTATGGCTTTCGCTGTTGTCAGGTTGTCGCCAGTGACCATTCTAACAAACACGCCAGCTTTTTGACACTGAATGACAGAGTCACTAACACCAGGACGGAGTGGGTCTTGAATACCCACAACACCCAAAAAGACCATGTCCTTAAAAATTGGTTCGAAAACGGCAAGGGTACGGTCGTCTTCTTGTGTAGGGGCGCCACGAGGTGGCCACTGTTCAAAGTCTCGGTAGACCAAACCAATTGTACGCAAAGACCTTGAGGCGTAGCTTTCGATAATGTTATCCAAGGTTGATCGGTTTCTGTCAGTGAGCGGTGTTTCTGTTAATTCGGCCGCCGGATCAAGAACAATTCTCGTGCATTTGGCAATCAGAATCTCGGAGGCACCCTTTACAAGCATCCTAAACTTTCCGTTAGGCTGTTTTATGATGACAGCCATGCATTTTCGGCCGGAATCGAAAGGTACGAGTTGAACAGTTTCCTTGTTAGATCGCTCTTCGCTAAGAGAACTTAAGGCGAGATAATCCCGCGCAAAGCTGAGAAGTGCAGTTTCCGTTTTAGATCCGATGAAGGTTGGCACCCCGTCCTCATCGCCCTCAAAAGCAGTGGAGTTCATTACAATGGAGTCTTTCAGGAGATCCTTAATAGAGGGCGATAGCGTGGATACGCATTCCGCAGGGGAGACATCGTTTACCTCTGCGTCCGCTGGACTGTGGTGCGCCTGGTGCGCCTGATTATTGCCATTCTGAGCAGAGGTGTCTTGAATAGCTTTATCGCCGAACCGAGAAGCAGTCCCAAACGTACCGGCGACAACTGTCATTTTATTCTGGGTCAATGTGCCCGTCTTATCAGAGCAAATCGTAGTCGCATTTCCCATTGTCTCGCATGCTCTTAGTACACGTACTAAGTTATTGTCCTTCAACATCCGATTTGTGGCAAATGAAAGAGCCAATGTAACGGCTAGGGGTAATCCTTCTGGCACTGCAACGACGATGATAGTTACGGCGACAATGAATATCTGGAGGAAATTTTGACCTTTGGCAGCAGGGCCTTTAATAGAACTCAAGCTCGCTAGAAATTTGATGAACAAGACCACGAAGAGTAATAGGCCTGCCGCAAGACCTAGTTTGGCAATGTATGTAGCAAGGATGTTAAGCTTCGTTTGCAAAGGGGTGGTCTCTCCCTCGTCTTGTAATGACATCAAAGTCTTTCCATAGCTTGAGTTCACACCAGTGGAGGTAACCAGGAATGTGCCAACACCTTCAGAAACTTTAGCTCCCGACAGAATAAAAGGGTCAATTTTCGCAAGGTTTTCATGGTTTTCGATTGCTCGGTATGCTTCGGTCCCTGAAACCTTTCGTAGCAGGTCAGATTCGCCAGTAGCTGAGGATTCGTCGCACTTTACGTTGTGTCCTTCGATAAAAACGCCATCAACAGGAACCATGTCGCCAGGTTCTAGATGCATTACATCTCCAGCAAGAATATTGTAAACGGATATTTCCACGGATTTCCCAGAGCGGATGACTTTGACATTCCGATCCTCCTTTTTCTTGTTGAGCCTCACAAACTGCCGTTCTTTTTGCCAGTCGTTTGCAGCACCAACAATAACTACAACCAAAATAGCAACTATGATAGCTACTCCTTCCACCCACTGTATCCTGTGTTCATCTGGCCCCGCTGTAACGGATTGATATATCCCAAGCGCGAGAGATATGGCAGCGGCAACCGAGAGTAGAATCAATACTTTGTCGTTGTACGCTATCCAAGCAAGTTCCCATATGCTCTTGGCCTTCTTCGCTGGCAAGTGATTGTCACTGAATACGCGTTTTCGGTCAGCGTACTCGTTATCCTTGGTATGTTTCGAACCGTGACTCTTCATGCTCATCACTCGGGAGGGCATTTTCAGATGCTGTTCGGGACCTTCACTTCTCTTCCTCGTTGCATCCTCAAAAGTGACAGTCCCGTCTAAAAAGGTTTCGTCGAGGCCGAGACCGGCGTGACAATTCGAACGTAATCCTTTTTCAAGGCCAGCAAGTCCACCAAGAGCATAGAAAGCGGACAAACTTTTGGGGTTCAACATTTTGTTTAATTGTCCGGGGGAGAATGCAAATTTATTGTTTTCAACTTTAAAATCCTCCTCCGTTCCAGGATCGGGCTTCAAAGCATCTGGATCATTTGTTATATCATGATTGGCATCGTGTGAAGGGCGATCATGACCTGAAGGAGTGGAACCCACGTAGGTATCACTCCCAAACGAACCGGGAGAATTTCCCAACTCCTCCGAATCTACAGAATTCCCCCGCGATCGAGTCCCAGGAACGGATAAAAACGTTTGAGAGGGCCCTTCGGGCCATTTTGAAGCAGGAGATGATACGTTATGGGGTGAAGTTGGGCGGCTTCCCCTGTTTTCTTTTCCCTCGAACGATGGCACTGGGTGGAGATCCACAGGGGAAAGTGAGGGTCCGCCAGGCGATCTCGATCCCGCTCCCACATGTTCGGTAGAGATCCGCAGTGTTGACTGCGATCCATCTGGGGTTATTTGCGGTTGAGATGATTCTGTTCCTGCGCTCACAGCGGATGTATCTATGGTGATAGTAGGTGCACGCTCACGCCGCAGAGGTGTTGGTGGCGAAACGGGGTCACCGTTCCCAGGCAATTGTGACATGGCTGCAATACAGAATTTCGTGACGGTGCAAACGTTAAGGGCACTAAGGTGAAAAGGTTACGGGGCAACAGGCCACGAGATCCTCAATTATATCAAAACGACTCCGGATTGTATCATGGCCAAGCTCTAGGAAAAATGCGTGAAGAAAGATCCTCGCGTAGCAACGGCCAAATTTAGATAGGAGAAAGAAGGTACAAATCGGCTTCTGCAACAACAAAAAATAGTGTTAGCATTGAGCTGACTAGGGGCAAAAAAAAAAAAAAAAAAAAAAAAAAAAAAAAAAAAAACCCAACGTAATGGAGTGCTGCTCATTTAGTGTAGAATAGGTGACTTCGCCACCAACAATGGGATTTTACATAGCACTGGGAAGTTTGTAGTGGGAGAATCCAGCCATGTAGAATTGCAGAAGCCAGACAGAAGGATGCCGTAACGCAATGTCTTACAAGAAGTAGTTTTGCCTACACGAACAGGTTTGCTCAGGGGCGGAGAACTGCCGGGGGTTTTGGCCCACGCCCACTCAATGCGCTGAAGGCCGATAAGTTGGAAGATGGCGATGATGAATAATTAGCCATCAAGGGATATTAGCCGGAAAGAGATCAAAGACAGAGAAAGGAGAGAAATGAAGGAGAGTGATGTAATGGGAGAGCAGAGGGGGAGGGAGGGAGAAACAGTGGAGGTTGAAGTCGACTATGGAGGCGTTTTTTGGGGGAAGGACTGGGCAAAGGAGCCAGAGCCAGAGCCAGAACCAGAACCAAGAGCCGGAGACGGAGCCGGAGCCGGAGACGGCGATGGAGACGGAGACGGACTGGTTGCTCTTGGCTGGCGACAGGCAAAATTCGCTCACAGGCTGAGGTCACAGCAACAAACCCAACAACCAAGAAAAAACACAACAGGATTTCAACGACAAAGAACGAATAGCATCACGCGCTTGAGATCTACGCTGAGTGCCAAGTTCATTTGCTTCCACTGGAGTTCTTTTAAAGGCCATAATCCCTGAGTAGGGCTCCCTGGACAGACCTCAGTTCTTGGCCTCTCCCACTCTCCACGTTCCCCTTAAGTCAAGAGGCAGAACTTCACCCGTCTACGTGTCGCCCAGCTCTGTAACTACCGCCAAGCGCTTTCCTTTACTTTACGTGACGAACAACATGCTCACATGCATAAGAACGATCGATGGTTGTCCCTAAAGCAAACCCCGTACAGGAATAATGGAGGACATCGCCAGTTGGAGAGATTGGCCAGAGGGGCCATTTTTCACTTAACTTGTCACGTAAAACAATCCAAAACTATGCTACATCTACGGTTCAACGCTATCTATTCAGATTTGAACTTGACAATGATCGATGCACAGAGGATGGCAATCAGTTCCCACTGATTATTAGAGTTGTTGTTGGAGTTATTTGTTGTTGGCCCTCTTAAAGTCCAAGCTTGCACTCGAACAAAAAGGCTATTGCTTAGCTTGCGTCAAAAGAGAACTTTCCGATGGAGCTCCATCTCACTCCACACATCATACAAATATTTAATGAAGGCGCAGCTTAGTTCATCCTTGACTGGTCTCCGCGGGGGATCAAAGTTTAAACCGACCCAGCAAATCAGCGGCGTGGATTATTCTGCACTGCCTCAATGCTCACTGCTCACAAATGGCTTGGAAGCTGGCAAAGTTGGGGGAATGGTGCTGCCCAAGAAACGAGGCCATTTCCAGGGAAGAACCACAACGTCTGGGCAGTAAGCAAAGCCCCGTTTCTCCAATATAACGTAAGCGATCACTTACCAGAGCAGATCACCCACCGGAACACCTATAACTACTTGCAAAAAATTCAAAATTACACAATTTTATGGAACACATAGAAAATCACATACTTTATTCCTTTAACATATGGGCATGCAGGGGGCTCTATGTCTTGAATTGCTCTTGCATTGCCACTTTTACTACAGTGCGCTGCTGATGTTCACTTTTAGTAGGCTTGATTTTGAATCCTTGACTACTCCCTTCCAAGCTTGTTGAGCAGCTTGAGCCCTTGCTGATCCTTTCTCTGCTGTCAGAATATTTCTCTTGAGCTATACAGACATGTTCTCGTTCTCACTTGCAGTTTTACTTCTCATTTGCAGCTTATAGAGCCTTGTTTCCTATGTTAGAATAGCAGCACTATGTGTAGCTAGCTGATACCCTCAAACTAGTTGGTTTATAGCTTGATTAATTGAACTAATATGACGCTGTGTACGTACGTGATGCACTGCTTGATCTTATTGAGCTGACATTCTAACTAAGTCATACGGCAAGGGTTTTAGAGGTTCACAAAGACAAAAATTTATAAGATATATTAAGGAGACTGAGTATCTATTATGAAGAATATAAATACATAACAAAATCTTTTTCGAATTATAACATTTAGTTTATAACTTTGAATTTATATTTTTCAGTTTTCGTTTTAGCTATAATGTATAAACTTAAAATTTTACTTTTATGATATATTTATTATATATATTCTTTGAAAGAAGTAAAATATTTTAATATTTAATAACTCTAGAAAATAAAATAAATATAATAATAAAAAATATAAATTATTTATATAATATTAATTAAATTTAGCTATAATATAATTTACATAATTATTTAAAATAAAAATTTATTATTTACTAACTATATAATTTTTAAATATATATTTGTTGAATATTTCTTTTAATTATATTAAACTTAGTTAAGTAATTTAATCATTTTCTCTAATTTTAATTACTTTAATCTATAAATTAAATCTTTATATTATAAAATTTGATATATTTTATTTTAAAAATAGTTATTAAAGGTAGAGTTTATCTTAATATATTAATTATCTTAACTACATTTACTTATCTTTTATTTTTAAACCATATAAAAGATACTTTTTTAAAATTTTTATAAATTTAAAATTAACTTTTTAAAATTTATATATTTTTTAATAAAATATTATATTTCTTTCTGATATATTTTACTAATTTAAAACATTTAAGTATAATTTTTAACACATTACATAAAACTTATTGGTGATTTTATCTATATATATACCTGGTTTTAACTTCTTTTTAATATTGAAGAAACCTTTAAACTTACTATTTTCAATTATAGATTATAAACTATTTTGTGTATATATTGTTAAAAGTTCATATCTCATATGCCTGCTTGCGATTTGAAAGGATAAACCTCACTCATTTATAAATATCATTCATTGAGCTAGAGATTCTTCTTCTATAGAAATCAGCTTTTGATTGTATTATTAAGAGTTCATGTGTGATGTAGCTACAGTGACATCATACAGCTGCTCTCATGCTTGAAAGTTGCTTAGTTTCATAAGCTCTAATGGCTAAAAGAAACCCTCCTTCATGATTGGAAGCTTGATCTTTTGATTTGGTGGGCAAATTAAATGATCAGTTTGATTCAGGTGGTTTGTTGGAATGGAACGGTGTTTCTGGTAGGTTGATCTGTTCCGGTGGTGGGTGATCGCTTATGTTATGACGAACTTTAAGATCATCGCTAAACTATAATTACTCATGAATGTCTGGCAGAACTTCATGTCATAATACCTAAAAAGAATTACTCCATGGTAAGAAAAATCAAGGTTGCCAACCCTCGTAGCCTTTACCGCCCGGCACCTCTTTCTCTCGACGTTTGCAACAAAAAGCCAGTTGGACTAGAGGTTGTTCAGTAGTTTCAGGACCTTGGCAACACACGAGTTGGGACCCATCATTGAACAGTAAACTAATTAATCGTTTGGAAACGCCAGCCCGTTCTGTTGAAAGTGCTGCCGCCTCTTCAAGGAATATATCACTTCACTGCCAAGCTCAGCTGGAGCAAATATGTGGGGCAGCTTTCATTTTTACCAAAGCTAAACAGGCACAACGTTGAAAGCCTTCGCTGGGATATTGTTTTTGCTTGTTTAGGCTATTTTTCCGGGGCAGATCATTTGAATAGTCTGGAACATTTCCATTTAACCGTGGGCTTTCCACCAATCTCGAGATGGGATATTTCTGACACATGGCACAATAACCTAAACCTTACGCTGCTGAATACTCTGCACTTTTCTTGACTTTTCAATACACACAAGTCTTGTCTCGTTCACTCTGATATTGTTGGCCAAGGGCAACTTTGAGTACGATGACTGCTGCATGTGAAACCTTTGCTTAAGCTATATCAAGGCCACACCTTGTCGGCGGACGCGCTTCCACGATTGGTAAGAAGATTGATGAATTTCAAGGCCGTTGAGCCGAGGCGATAAGATATGCTGGCCCTCCTTTCGAGATTTGATACACAATCGAGACCAGACAGATATAAGCCGGCCACTCCATACCGCCACTCATTCAAGAATCCTTCTCGAATTGACGTCCCCTTGCCTAAGAACCCATTCTCTGTGTTGATATCCCTTGTAAGTAGTAATAATCGCGTAAAGCCTTGGGAGCAAAAGAAATTGCTTCGTTCCCTCCCTGAACCAATATGTCGTGGAAAAGATAGTTATCACAGGTTAATAGCCTAATAAATTGGATGACAGCACTTTCAATTCTTTGCAGCATGACGCATTCCTTACTCAGAGTTTGGTAAGCATACAGCTCTTGTCTTGTCTTCCTCGGCCGTATCCTCAGGAATATTGTTTAATAAATGTTTATATTTTGTTCAAATCGGTTTGGTGTGAACAAACCCGGGAACTTTTTCATTTAATTCCCCTCGACGCACAAACAGACGCAAAGCGTGGGGCGATTTCTTTACCAACTTCAGTCGTGGTCGTTTTTTTCATAAAGATATGGATTTCCCGATACGGTGCCTTACACTGCTTAATATGCGTGTTCCCACGTCGGATGGCGTCTAGAGGTTTGTGAGTGGATAAGGACGATTCAACCGACGTTTTGAGTTACTGTACGCTTGACTGTCTGTTGTCGTGCTCCTTAGGCACCCTGATTTGGCCTCACTAGGCTCATTAGGTATCTTCCAATTCACATGAGAGATGACCTTGGAGATTAAGTCTAGTTGAAATTGAACCTATCAAAAGGTCTGCAGCATATCATTCGTGCAAGTTGCCTCTACCAAGCGGGTATGCATAAATACCCACATGCACACACATCCAGCCTCGACGTGTGTATATTACCGCTCATTTAAAAGACAAAAGATTAGCACGGGGACATATGCAGACAAACTGCAAAATGTCAACGGAAACTCAAGAGGGTCATCGATCACTTTTCCAACCTCCAATTCCTTGAATCAATCCGCTACAAAGAGATACGCACTTAGCCATGCCGCCTTGGAAGATTGGGGATGCCTTGCACAGCCCTGCTAATTATTGCCTCTCTTGTTCCGCCACATACAACAATCTGCAGCGTAACGGGTGCCATTGTCCCCGAAACGCGCATTTGGAATTCTATCCTGATGACCTAGAATGGATTGTTGGCCAGGGTCGCCCATTCTTAACACGAGTTTCTCACACTCTTTTGTATGGGGAATTGGCGATAAGAGGTGTTTTTTAACATCAGGAGTTTAGGGAGGCGGGCGAATGGAATGAGTCTGCCGGAACACCCTTCGCGGCCAGTGCCAGTGTGGCTGTGTATAAAAGGAGCACAGCCCTTCGGATAGCTCCGAAATGTGCAAGCCGCCATTACATTTTGTGTTTCCTCGCGCATGTTGCTGCGCGTTGAAAAATATAAGGGAAACCCCGAGTTTAACACACTATTGTCGTACACGTACCTATCTGAGATCTCGATGCACTAAGATATTATGAATGGTATATGCAGGAGACTTTGTGTACGCTTGAAGAAATGGGATTACAGAGATTGTATCCGCCGCGTGGATAGTTTTGCTTTTGTGGTAGGGGAAAGGAGTATGACGGAGAAGGGAACAGGTCTGTGAAACAAATTGCCACTGAAAAATTTTTTTACCATTCTTCTCCCCAGTTCCCTTCCCAAGCTCTAATCTTGAACCATCAATTGTTTCCCCCTTTGCCAAGTTGCCAACATGTGCCATAGAGCTCTTAGGCACACTCATTCAACAATTGATACCTATTACATTCCATCCAGCCTGGATCCTAACGTATTCGATAGTGACCTCTATGTTGATTTGGTCGATAGACACAAAGAACAAATTTCTCCAGCCTAAAAGGTAATGAAGGACCCTGATATTTCTCTAAACCAAGCTCAAGCTGCTTCTATCTGCCCACCAGATGTGTAAGATCTCCTCCAAATCACAACAAGCAGATGACGTCCAGTCATTGCATGATTATTTCGCTTCATCGCATTACATCTCCAGCAGCTCTCAGGGAAGAGTTCAGGATGCTTGCTGGTTGTCATTGCTGCGCATAGGAGGTTCTCCGTTTCCCTTTCAAGCGCATCGGAAAAACATTTGATGGATTGACAAGCAGCCGCCTCGGCTCGATAAATTTTATCCATTTCTCACACATTTAAGTAACAACTAGATGCTGCCGTCACGTTTAAACAATGGTTGTTTTCCGTCCTCTCTTTCATTGCCTCCTGTGAACGCGGGAGCGTTGAATAGGGGTTATCTGGGCCTGCACCCGACCAAGTAGCATGCAGAACGATCAACTTTTTGAGCGCAGGGTCGATAGACTGGATATCAACCCTGGGAAGATGCAGAGATACACCAACAACACATCTCGGAGGTAGCTCAGCATAGAATGAGATATTCCTTCGTGTAGTGCGAGCTGACAACGCCCAATACGCTCGCTCACTTCTATATATTTAGCCATAAAGGCCGAGTAAATATTATTGATATTTTTTTTCAACTTTCAAACTGTAACTAATTAGTTATTGCTTTTCTCTCCTTGTTCATCATTCCAAATCCAGTTGTCTTACTGAAGTGAAATCTTGACTCGAATCCTTTGCGAGAAACCCCGAGCACCAAATCCCGATATATATCTTGACATATCCACGGGTAGATATCTGCAAGGAATCCCCGGTTTGCTAGTAAATCGCTGTCTAGAAAAACCTCCATCTACGACTCTCTATGACGTTGTCAGTGCTTCTTGTTGTCTGCATCCTGACAATGATCAATGAGATCATTCGAATCGAGGGAGAATGCACATAAACACATAAGGAACACTCCCCTTCTAGCTAAGATTTCCCCGATTAAAATCAAAGAAAAGCAATTTTGTTTCCAGCCAAAGTTCTGGGTAATAAATAAGCTTATGCAGTAGTAACGAGTGAGTGAATGGATGAGGGTGCGAATCAGCTCGACCTAGGGGTTATGTCTTTTTATTTATTTATTTATTTATTTATTTTTTGTAGGGATATTGTATTGATAGTCAAGGGGCAAGTTAAGAAGTTCGGAAATGTAATTGGCACGTTCAGAAACCCCAAGGGACTTGTGGTGTTTGTAATCACCATAAAAAATGAAAATCTTTAACTGAGAGAGCATAGTGGATGAGACAGTTGATCGAAACTTTTCAGGTGAGAGCCATTAGACAACATATTAGAATAATATACACTGCTTGTCCTTTGGACAGGGATACAGTTATTTTGAACTGAGGAAATCAAATCAAATAAAACCTATACCAAAACCACACCCATCCTTAAAAACATTTTAAACCTCTTTAAAGAGGAAACATACAAAAAAACCTCAACCTAGTCCGATTCCTTCTCCGTTACCCTAAGACATCTCCAGATCCTGCTGCGGTTTGATCTTCCAGATATCAAGGCATGCACCGTCCTCTGACTTCTTCTTCGGCTTCGAGTCCTTGGAGCTCATGAGCGCAACGCTCGATAGTGCCAGCACATCTACCAATTCACACATGCGTCCAGATGCCAAGAAGCTGTCTGTCATAATTTGAGACGAGGCTATGACAGCCGCAAGCGTCATGCACTGAGCGAGCACTTCGCGCCCAATCGTGTGTCCTGCGAAGAAAATCGCGCTGTGATAGGCCAAAATGACCTCGGGGAGATAGGTTGATTTTATGAATTCGAGTTCGGTTGCTTCCGCGTCTAGATATGAGCCCGAGAAATTAGTTGGGAATACTGTTTCTAACTAATGGATGAGCAAATTTTGAAGGGGGATTTCTATTTTTATTTTCTTACCGTCTTTCGGGTAGCCGAGCCAGTCTCCGAAAAGGGGTTCGATACACTCTGTGATTGAATCTACAGTTTCCTGTAGCGTTTTCCGGAACTCTTTCGCCTGCTGCTTATCGGATAGACTGTAACTCCAAAGTTAATAAAGACATATACAGGTGCATGGAAAGTTGGCAAGGGATATGAAATACATACTGCTCATATTCATCCATCCGGTTTGCCCAAGTCTCCAAGCTGACAAAGGCAGCGATGAGATATTCTAGATCGCGCATTGTGTGTGATTGGAGATAGAGATCCGCTCTTTGACCGCGCGATAATGGACGCCGTCTTTGGATTCCCGATTTCATAGGGCTTTTCGTCGGACTTGCTTTTGCTGGGTCGTCAATGCCATTCTCCCCACAATTCAAGATATCGTATGGTGATTTATCCAGTCCTGTAATATCACCGGGAACCATCTCAACGCGGACACGCCTATAAAGCTCACGTGCTGCACCAAGCCGTCCAGCACCTGTTGATTAATAGGATGTCAGTAATATTTTCTTTCCTAATATCAGGAAACTAGGCCTATGACTGGAAGGGTCTTACCCAAAAACCGCTTATAGAGATGTGACCCTCTCGGGCAAATATTTTGCAGTTGATCATCTGCGTAGCGATGCCATTCCAAACAACGGATCAAATACTCGTCCTCATGCGAAACGCGCCGACCAATGAGATTCTTTTTGATGGGCCCGATTCTCCCTGGGCCCTTTCCTTGATTGATGACGCTCCTCTTCAACCGAATAGTCGTCGTTTTATCTTCCTTAGCATCAGCCTGGGCAGTGACCAATTGCCATTGACTCTCCACAATGGCTCCGAGATTGATATTTAACCGCTTCATTATCGTAACTTGCTTTTCCCGTTCTTTTGGCTCAACGATGTCGATCAGCACTTTTCCAAGAACCATATGTGCTGCATTTTCGGGGAGAAGCGATGCATAAAGTGGTATGAGTTCAAGCTTGCCAGCTTTGCGCAGGAGATTGATGTAGCTAATGATATTGATGCAGGCGGTTTGAACATAAAGGGAGTCGGTGCGAACATATCCAAGTGATTGTAGGATGAGGAACAAATGGCTGATGATACGCATGGCATCGTCATCCCGAGCAGCAATAAGACAAGCATCATCAACATTAGTGATTACAGTTTTCGGAACGAGAGTTGCTTTGTTCGAGATACTGGCGGCTTTTGAAACAGCGTTCGCCTGATGGAAAAAGAAGTGGTTGTAGTTTTTGCTCAGGATAGCCGCTTGGATAGTGCGATAAGGGTTCCTGGCTTCAACTGCGGTTCTCTCGTTTCTTCTAACGTTATCCAGGAAGATATTGATATTGGCGTACGCTGCGGGTTCGATGGATAGAGCCACATCGGTGGTCGGAGAGAAGCTCAGTTTCCGATGAAATTGCTTGCAAAATTCACGGTATCTCGCAAGGATTAAATGATTAAAGTAGACATAAATGTAATCACCCCAGCCCTGGCAAATAGCGTACGCCGGCTCTGTTTCGCCACAAATAAGCGCATAGACAGCCTTCTCAAAGGCGTTAGTCGCAGGATTATTAGCAAGCGCCAAACACGCGTTTCTCCATGACTCTTGAAATCGATAACTCATCAGTCGAGTAAAACCAGATTGTGCAGCTTTTCCGTCCTGAGAGGGTGAATCGCCGGGTATACCGCAAACACTGATTGCCCTCCAGTTTTCCAATCGTTCATGAGACCATTCTCGAATGTGCTTCCAGCTTTGGCCCTCCCTGAGCAATTTCCAACAAGTGAGCCATGCAGCTTGCTCATAAAACTGATCTTGTTTCTGAAGTCCGTGTTGTTGTCGGGTGACAGCATCAGGATCTAATTGAGTGACTAAGGGTTCCTGTTGTTCCACATTCAGTAGAGACATCGTAAGCCCCGGGTCATTAGGCTCTAATGGTTGGGGCCAAGACCGCAGTCGCTTTGCCCCCTTAATTGCCTCCTTTGTATAGAGCCAGCCATGAGCCCAGAGTCCTTGCCCTCTCTCAGCCTGAGTTTCCAAATCAGAAATTAGCGCATCAATATCTTGGGGTGACGACCTTGCAGTTTGCTCCAGCCATTTCAGCACAATGACGTTCTCCGATGCAAAATGATCCGCCTCGAGGAATTTATTCCAGACTTCCTGGTCCGTAGAATATCGATGCAGCGACTGCAGGACGGTCTGCTGAGCTTTTTGCACTCGGAGGCGTGAATCAGGATCATCGATAGATATCATTTGAAGCACTAACTCCCAAGTTTCGGCTTCCAGCTGCCATCGCCTGATCTGTTCATCTAATTTCGCACGATTGGGGCTTTGACTAGATCCAGATTCTCGATTATTTGTTGATTGCTTTACTTTTCGAAGGGTGCTGGTTTTTGACAATTCCTTCGCAGTCGTTTCCGCAATTTTTTTGTATTTTTGGACCAATTTACAGGCTTCGAGAAACGTTCCCGGGTCACCCGAGCCATGGTCGTGTTGTTTAAACTGGTTTAAGCTTTGAGCAAAGGCTTCTATTTGGCTTGTTACGCGATTTGCTGTGTTTCGAAGCGGGTTTATGACTTGTTGTATATCGGCCGGTGTCAGTAGACCTGGGGAAGCTGGGCCAGATGAAAGAGCCAAAACATCTAATCATGCGAGGCAAATCAGTAAGAAGCAAATGAATCAGACAGTTTTTCTTAGCAATGGCATAAACAAACCTTGCTCAGCTTCTCCTAAATCAGAACTCTTCTCTTCCATGGAGTCAGTTCCAGTCAAAATATCGTCCTCGTCCTCGTTGTCACCCTCTTCTTCCTCGTCTTCATCCTCGCTTTCGTCGTCGTTTTCTTCGTTCTCTAAATCCTCTTCCTCTTCCTCTTCCTCTTCCTCGTCCACATCGTCGTCATCATCGTCATCAATCTCTATAATTTCTACATCATGGAGGCGGCTAGGTGGAGCATCAGTCTACAGCAAGTTAGCTGTTGTTGTAAGTTCGCAATCGTCAGAACTGCAGAACTCACAGGAGGGAGGTTTTGCTGTCCCAGCGGGAACCCTGAAGAATATGTCATGGGCGCCATAGTCCTCTGGATAAGCACTGCTCCAACTGGATGAAGGGGATATAGAACGCATGTACGTGGTAGATGCTGTGTTGTGTTCTGGTGGAGAGTAAGGAGTAGTGATAAACAAGGGACGATGTAATTAGGTAACAAGTCCTTTTGTTTAGCTTCTTCGCTCCCCATTTTCCTTAGACGATGCAGCAGCGGGCAGAAATGCCTAGTCCTGAATAGGACTAGTTCCAACTTCTGCCAAGCATAAAAGCTCCTACAGCAGATTTTCCACTATTTTTTTTTCTTTTCCTTCAACATATGTCATATAGGCGTTCATTAGAGTCTCGGATCAGACGAACTCCTGTCAGGAGTTCACTCGATGTTTGTTCAGGTCCCTTGAGGTCCTCTTGCGTGCTCACGAGCGTCTTAGAATGAATTCGACAATCCCCATACATATTCTGGTTGGATCCAACTCTATTGGCAAGGAAAACTTAGAAGAGTGATTGTTACAGATCTTTATTTTTGATTTATTTATTTACACTAACTATGAAAGATTGATTGGTCTTGCCATTCTTTCAATTGCTAATGCGCTACCAGTCTTTCTAATCTAATATCGACTGAGCCCTCCTCTTTCAAACTCTCATTTTGCTCGCTTACCTGCCTCGCTTCTCCTCCGCTCGTTGCTTCATCTTCAATTTTAGAAGATCGGGTTTTGGGCAGCTTGGGGTTCGTGCGTTTTCGCCTCGTGCTTCATAGAATGCCTTGCAACATTGATAGAGGGCGTCTATCTGGTTTTGGCATTTCTCTTCTTTATATGAGTTCTTGGAAAGGCATCCTGTTGACACAAAAAAGATATCAGTCAATCTTGGGAGCCAAAGCTAGTTTTTCCGTGGGGGGATATGTTTTTTTTCTTCTTCTTTATATATATACCTTGTATAGCACACTGGTGACAGCATTAGTTAGCAAAATAGCAGACCAAGCAATGAAAATTTTTACAATTGGACAGTTACATACAGCTCTTGGGTGACAAGGCGGATTATATGCAATATCTTCTTTCAACCCCTACCCATTAAGTTCTCATCAGTTTCTGGAAAAGATCGGGCATCCTACCAAGGCAAAACAGTCTTTCTCTTACCATATTATGAAAATAACCTCATTTGTTTGTGGTCCCCAATAGGCATCCTTTTTGATCGGAGTTCGTTCCGCGTTGGCACAGATTTGATATTCAAACGGGAGTGGGTCCATTTGTTGGCGTTACCTAATCGCAGTTCTAGTTCTGCGCGCCAGCCAAACTCCGAGCGGCAAAATAGATTTTCCAGGTTGCCGTTTGGGGCAGCCATTCACTGACGCTGCGCATTTATATCAACCAGGACAAACTCAACATCCATTCGATCAACTCCCTTTCATCCTTCATTCCAATCCTTGAACTGCACCCACTCAACAACACCATTAAACAACAACACTTGAAAAGAGCCCATAGTAAGTCCCGTGTTTTCTATTGCTATCCTTTGTACGGCTTAAGGTAATCCTTACTGCTTGAGGACTCTATTTACTAACCCTACATTCCCATCCAAATGGCTCGCACCAAAGGCGCTCGTCTGCCATCTCTTTTACTCAATTACTCCATATCTCATAATGGATACAACACCACAGGAGAATACATCAGCCGCGCAACCTCCCAGTGAACATCTCAACATAAAAGTTACTGATAATAACAACGAGGTGTTCTTTAAGATCAAGCGCTCCACGCAACTCAAGAAACTTATGGAGGCATTCTGCCAGCGCCAGGGCAAGGACATGACGCAAGTACGCTTTCTATTTGATGGAACAAGGGTCAGACAAGATGATACGCCTGATACTGTAAGTGTCTCTCCCCACAGATCTCTTTGTCTATGGCTGTCGCGCCGCCGGCAGATTTGTTTGTCGCGTTTGGCGCAGCTGCAAGAGACTAATTAGTTGTTTATTGCAGCTTGATATGGCAGATGGCGATACGCTAGAGGTTCATCAGGAGCAGATTGGAGGCTGATCGGGGGCCATTTCCTTCCTTCTAATTGATTCAACGAGGTGAGTTGGGTTAATGGAATCCCCAATTTGAGTTAATCAAATCAGGAAATAAAAGATCCAAAGTCACTGGCTGATAACCCCTGTCTTCGCGATAGTTTCTCATCTGTTTCTTACGATATACCTTCTTCTTAATCCCAAGCCCGATTGTAGAGCGCGGTAGCTTCTCATGCCCTACTGCGGGATCGGCTGTTTTCTTAAATTCGACGTGTCTTATCATATTGTGCTGTGCCTGTGCCCATGTTCCCCCCCCCCCCCCCCCCCCTTTTTTTTTTTTTTTTTTTTTTTTTTTTTTTTTTTCCATCCCTACATTTGCACAGCTTTTTGTATGCCGCGTCTGATTCAGACGGGCTATATACGATTCGAAAGGTCCAAATTAACCCCCGGGGGGGAGGCAAATATCATAAATGCGAGATATGTTTCTTACAGGTGCTAAAAGTCAGTCGCGTTCTGCTTGTGTTTATTCTGTTATTGTTAATTTCCAGATCCTCCCCCCCCAGCTCTCTTCCCAAGCTTTTCTGTGAAGGTGTTATATTTCTTGGCTAGTTGGTTTCACTCGATCTTCCCGATTTCTTTTGTTCTTTTCATGTGTTGTCAGTCACACTTAACTTAAAATCTCATGGATTGAAAAGGAAATAGATGCGTGTCTTGCCCCCAACCTGTTCTTTTGATCTTGGCGATTGTTCTTTGGTTGTCCAAATCCGGCCTCGCATCGTTGCACCGTCTCTGCATTCACTCTAATGCATTTTCATTCGATACCTATACCACATTGTGTCTAGTGGGCTTCGGGTTAGTGGAAATAAACACCTTGTTTATTCATATTGGTACAGTACTAAACGTTAAGGGAAAACGGGTTGGACGCGTGACATAACTGGTGGTTCAAGAGGCGGTTCCCAAGGACACAAGCACCTCATATCTTCAGAAGTATTGAAATGTATGGCTGAGGACTCTTGGCTGTAATTAGCGATGAGCTGCGAAGAAGAATGTGACATGACATCTTCCACATCAAGGTGGCAAACTTTCATGGAGTCGTGGGGATTGTGGGGATTGTGGGGGTTTTTATTCATCAATAGTTGTGTCTGATACCGATACGTTCAATAGATAGAAATAAATAGGCCAAAAGGATAAATGATCAAATATAAAGCGTGGACTACGCATTTTTCCTTGTTGACATTATAGAGATATGATATGTACAGGAATCAAGCCGACTTTGGTCATAATAATGAGCCATAACTATACCAGTAGTGATGGTGATATTAAATCATGGAGAATCCGAGGGGAGGGTAAATATGAGAAAGAAAGAAAAGAAAACCTTCATGAAGGAAGGCTATATCAAAGAATCCAACATAAATAAAAGTGGAAGGAAATACCCCAGAACCCGAAAGGAAAACCAGACACGAAAAGAAGCCAAAAAAAAAAAAAAAAAAGGAAAAAGGAAAAAGGAAAAAGAAAAAGAAAAGAAAAGAAAAGAAAAAAATTGCATCTATTTACTCCTCCCAAATCGCCGCTTTTGCCTTCTCCTCTTCCCTCCGCCTTACATTCTCCGCCTCCCGCTCCTTCTCCCTCCGCTTTGCCTCTTTCTCCCTCATCGCACGATCATACGCTTTCTGTTCCTCCGTGCGTTTCGGAGCCCTAATCCCCAGAGCGCCTGCAATCATGCGGCTCGCAACTGAAGTCTGTTTTTCGGGCCTCTTGTCCTGGTTGAGATGTGTCGCAGAAGGAGGCGATGTGGCAACAGCGCGGTCCGGGATAGGAGGGAGGGAGGCAAAGTCGGGAGTCCAGCGGGGAAGAGAACCGCTTTGAGGAGATATGGGTGTTGGTGGTGGGGCACAGATGCCTGGTGTTAAGTTGGTGGAGGGAGTGCTGCTGCCGGTTGACGTGTTGGTGGATACGGTGGTCAGGGGGGATTTCAGGGTTGCGGATGCGGGCGGAGTGGTGCCTTCTTCATTTTCAGAGGAGGAGACGTACGCATCTTCCCATGATTCTGCGACAGGGGAGGATTTATTTGCTTGTTTCTTTTTCGCGACGGCGGAAGGTTGTTGTGTGTTGGTGTTTATTGAGAGACTCTTAAGGGCGGAGTATAAGGGCTCTTTACTCTGCAGTTAGAAACGAGCTCGAAAAAAGCTGGGTAGTTAATCTGATTGATGCTCCTAACTGAGATACAACCACAAACCTTTAGAATGGCCAGCCATATCCTGCACCAACCGACCGGAGTCTATCAAAGGGTATTCACAGACCGTGCGCTGGTATTATGGACAGTCTGACAGGTATTAACTAGTTCCACGTTGAAGTTTAGTCAACTAGTTTTTGTTGTTGCCTCTTCCTTCCAGCGTCATATTATATAAGCTTGGGTGCAGAAGACGCCATTCGCTTCTCTCAGCCCTTCTTGGCAACCAGGTCGCAATCTAGCCTCCTTGGATGGAATGCGGGAGGAGCTAGCTAATCTGCGTCCTCCTGATCACGTGCGGGGCAACGGCTAAAAACCTGGTTTGCGGCGCCCGCAGTGCTAGTCAACGTACCACCCGAGTGAGTGGATTTGCGTGTTAATTATTATCATTTGATTGATTTATATTTTCAACACATTGATAATACCTTCGATTCACAGTGAGACTTCACCTAGAGAGAGAGGATTTGACTTGAGCTTAATAAATGCTTTTAAAAATTAAGAAATCTCTTTAGTTCATAAGATCGTATATCTATAAGATGTCAGTCTTTATTTTTTTTTTCTATCAATTTAATGATTAATCTGCTGTAAATTAACTGAATACAAAGAGAATCTGCTAGTTCAGTGAATTTTTAACTTAGCTAAATGAAAACTACCTTCTTAATTAGTATTTATAGAGAATATAATTAACTATCTTCTTACTTTATAGAACTTTTATATTTCTCTTTTATCATTAAGAACTGAGTGTCAAATCTAGAAACATATTATTTAAAACTTAATGTCATTGTTTAAGATACTATAATCATGAACGGTCTAAGTTCTAATATTCAAAAATTATGAAAAATTTAAGATCTAAAAATATAATTATTAAGCATAAAATTCAATCTTAAACTATCTAACTATAACTTTTAATAGATTGAATTTAGAATGAGGCTTTTATACAATTATCAAGATTATTATTAGTGCTAAATATTATAGCTAAGTAAAGTTTCTACAAGTTGAAAATTATAAATAAAATTAAAATTAAGATAGTTATTTATTGTTTCAGATAAGTGCTATTTTTATATTAGTTTTAAAAAGTAATTTTTATAAAGTAGTTTGAAGATCTATCAAAGAAGTGAAAACTAAATATTAATTTTCCATTGATTTAAATTGTAGATGAAATTGAGTTTAAATAAATTATATAAAAATTTATTTTTATTAATGATCAACTTCTGTAAAATCAATATCATTTACTCTATATTTTAAATAAATTCATCTGCTATTTTATTTCAAAATTTGATTGAATTTACAAAATTATTAAATAGTATATTTATCATATTTTTTATAGTCTTTGAATATAGATGTCTTTATAATATTAAGTGAGCATATATGAAGATTTAATTGAATAGTAAATACAGTTTGAATTCAATTTTATTTAGAAAACAAACTTCTTAAAAGCTTATTTCAGTGTATATAAAGGTTTTCAATACTTAGAACATTTAAAGCAGCTTTATAACTAAAGTAGCCTTATTTGGATCAAATCAGATTATTTAGCTGTGAATTTACTATCTTGAGAAATCAATCTAGCCACTCTTATCAGTTGCATAGGCAGGTGAATAAGATCAAGAATCTGATACGACAAGGCCTGAGAGTCCTTTGTAAGACTTGATAAAAGACTTTTGATCACTCCACCAAGGTGAACAAACTGTAATTTTGCAAGCCATGAAAGGACAAACTGCCCTAATCCTATTGTAATTTAACGTTATTTAATTGGTGGTTGTTGCGTTGAGATAACTAATTCGAATTTAAATCTAGTTAGTTGTCCATGGTGATTTTGATGTTCCCCGTTCGCTGGGGAGTTAAGTTAACTAATTAATTAATTAATTAGTCAACTAACAAAGCAGAATAATAACAGAGAGCAACCTGGGCAGAGACGGAAAGGTGAACTCTGCTATTAATGGGAGACCCTTGATGTCCTCGGTGTTCAAAGGTATAAAATTAGCTTTACCAGCAATCACCAACGGGAACAAACAACTAATTCTTTCAGGGGTTTCATCCCGTCAAAGTTGTGAGTTCCCGCCGTCCGCGCTGCTTTTGAGAGGTGGTAATTCGTCAGTCCGGGCAAGCAAAACTGGCTTCGGCTAAGTTCCAGTAGAACCACTGCCTATGCTGCAATCACCATCTGTGGAGAAATGTTCGGCAATCTACCGAGGGTGCTGCCTCTTTATGTTCGTTAGATTTTCCTTTAGCATCTGCAAAGGTGCTGAGCATGGGCTTTAATTTGACACCCGAATCAATATTTCTTCACCCTTAAAACACACATGGTACACTACATTTCTTTCACAAAAAAAAAAAAAATGATTGATTTGTCGGATGCAGCGACCTCGGGATTACACCTATGACGCGTGCCCATCATTCCCGAGCATTTCTTCGGCTATCTGACGAACCTTGTTCCCCTCTGCGGACATTGTGCGAGCTCACCCTCGAGATGTGGTGCTCCCAGTCTTAGTTAAGATACCCTTGCACTTACTACGAGAGAGATGCAGCTCTAATATACGCTTACCCTTCAGGGCATCCTGTGTGGGGAAATCTCCTCTAGAAGTATGTACGTGGCTGATAATTTATATGCCCTCATCCGCCAGTTTGTCTTCTCTAAGTCTTTTCGGTTTATTTTCCACTCAAGATTGTATATTCTCTGGTACCTAGTTGATACAACATTCCTTATACATACTTTCCGGAGTTGCAGGGATAAGAATCCTGCCGTGTTTATTTATTTTATTTTTCTCACAAAACTCCCAAAATCTCGAAATTTTGATGTCTCTGAGATAGTTGCAGAAACCTCTGAGAAGCAGACCTCGGCTCAGCAGCCATGCCGCTCAATTCCATGCCTCCCTCATTGGCATCTCGTCGTCTCCAACCACGAACTGTTGTTCGAGTCGGCCAATGCCTTCATTCTAGATTCTCGACGTCTTCGCTAACTCTGAGTTATGCGGATACTCTTCCTAATCTAAAAATTGGAGCTCATACTCGGGTTCTTTTCCAGGGCTTTACAGGTATGCTGAATATGTCCGTTGCGTTGAGTGATATCCTGGACAATTGTCTGCATTTATTAGGCTTTGGTAATACAATTCATATCATAAGCTAAGATTTATGTAATAGGCAAACAGGTAATATGTCCTCTCAATGCAAAGTCCGTTAAAGTTTGCACGGCTAAACCTTCTTGAAGGCAACGGCGAACGTGAAAGAGTCGTTGGCATGGGGTACCAAGATTATAGGCGGCGTAAAGCCAGGCGTAGAGGGTGAACACCTAGGACTACCAGTTTTTCCATCAGTAAAAGTGGTATGTGCTACTTGTCAAGAAACGGAAACCAAAATATAAAGGTAACACTAGTTCCACGGAATGCTGACCTGAAGTATTCGACTCCTACCTCAAAACTTAGGCACAAGAAAAAGTCAGACCAGATGCAACAGCGATATACGTCCCCGGCCCACAAACAGCACAGGCAATTGAAGAGGCTGTCGAAGCAGAGATTCCTCTTATCGTGGCGGTTGCGGAGCATGTTCCAATTCATGATATTCTTCGAGTGAGGATTTCCCCGTAACCGTTCCCTAGGCTATTCTATTTGTAGCTAATGAGCACAACTAGGTTCATGCAATGCTTAAAACCCAATCGAAATCCCGTTTGGTTGGTGCCAACTGTCCCGGTATTATTTCCGCGATTGGGAAATGCCGCATAGGATTTCAGCCGCTCCCCTGCTTCTCTCCCGGCCATATAGGAATTGTCGCCAAGTCCGGAACTCTTGGTTACGAGACCGTCGCCTCAACAACACGAGCCGGGTTAGGTCAGAGCCTTTGCATTGGTATGGGAGGAGATGTTTTGGCTGGCACAGACTTCGTGGATGCACTGAGCATTTTCGAACATGATGATGACACTCATGGGATAATAATCGTCGGTGAGATTGGAGGAACTGCTGAGATTGCCGCTGCGGAGTGGATTGTCCATTATCGTAGGCGTTCTGCAAATCCAAAGTATGCAACATAACCACCTCCTATGAAGCGTCTTACGATCACTAATGGATAGGCAGACCTATAATGGCAGTGGTTGGTGGGATTCATGCGCCTCTCGGGCGAGTCATGGGTCATGCTGGAGCTTGGGTTGGACCCGGAGAGCCCGATGCACAGACAAAGATCAAAGCGCTACACAACGCGGGCGCTGTCATGGTACATCATCCAGAGAACTTTGGAGAAGGAATGAAGATGCTGTTGAGCAATATGGGCGAAAGGCCTGTCCTTGAGGTGGTTCATCATTCTCCAACGGTTAACGTATATATAGATATTTTTGCTGACAGAAAAATAGACAGCTTCGGCCGCCGCAGGAGGACAAAGGGGATTCCATACCCTACGCCGAGTAAACGTTCAACAACGAGAACCTCTTAAAACACAACGCCGAAACCTTTACCTAAAGCAATCCCAGTCATTCGACCTATTAAAGGAAAGGGGGCTCGCAATTGACGAATCAAATGAACCTGGAGATTTTTTCTTTGGACTTTCGATAGACCGAAAATCGCACTCGCCATGTATCATTGCCTCTCCCACCACTGACCCAGCCACACAGCTCTCGCAAGCTAGGGTATTCCCGTTTACGTATGGTAAGACGCAATTTTCGGCTGATGGGGCGAATACCAGGGCAGTTGCTAGCCATATTGGTCTAGGGAAGTTTGCTCTGGAGCCTCTTGCAAAACTAGCACAGAATCTGCTTGATATATTCATGAGCAAGGAAGCCTTTGTACTGGAAACAAAAATCACCGTGGCTAGTGATGGAAGCTTCCAGGTCAGCGGAGCCCGGTTTGGTTTTGATGATGCCGCGTACAAAAGTTCAAAGAGACAGAAGGATATCCATCGACTCAGGAACGAAGCTGAAGAGGTTCCTGAAGAAGTTGAAGCTGAGAAATATGGGATTGTCTATATTAAGTATGTCTATTCTCTCCTCTCCCTAGACTATTTTAATTGGGAGATATATTAACAGTGTAAAAGACTTGACGGAGAAGGAAGCATTGGAACCCTCGGTAAGGCTAGCCACCTTCCCTCTCTTTATATCTTGGGAATATGGGTCATCTAGAAGTAAAAGTAAAAGCAAATTTCTCATCCATCTACCCTTTCCATAGTTAACGGCGCCGGTCTTGCCATGAATACCGTCGATGCTCTGAGTCACCACGGCGGCCATTGTGCCAACTTCCTCGACACAGGCGGTAAAGCCACGTCGGAGACGGTGAAGTCATCCTTTCGCATCATCCTCTCCGATCCTCGTGTCAAAACAATCTTTGTCAACATTTTTGGCGGCCTGACGCTCTGCGACATGATCGCTAACGGTATCATCATGGCGTTCCGTGACTTGGATATGAAAGTACCTGTCGTAGTGCGTCTGCGCGGTACGAATGAAGAAATTGGACAGAAGATGGTATGTAGTTTTTATCCTATGTTTCTGGAGAATACATGTTTACGAATATTTTCCTTTCTCTTTCCCCCCTTTCTTGTCATGATAATATATGCTTATTACTGATTTTGGTTTCCTTTTATAAAAATTAGATCGCGGATAGCGGACTTCCCTTGCACGCATTTGACTCCTTCGAAGAGGCTGCAAAGAAGGTCATCAGCCTTACTCGCTAAATCCCTCTTTTTTCGTTTCCCGGGATATGAATGGGGCTAGGCTCCGCGACCAGTCGCTAACTTTTATATATACATACCAACCCCTTGCTTTTGGATGGGGTTAAATTTCTATATTCATGTATATATGTAGGGTATATATCATCATCTTCTTCAATTTTATTGTTGCCATTTTATGTGCTTACCCATTGGATTCATTTGCAGATATATAAATTCATTTACTTGCTTTGTCCCTGGCCTTGTCCTTGTTTGTATTCTATTCTCACTTTGAATTTAACATAGTTTTGTATATTGAATATAGTTAAACATTAGTGAATGACCAATGCACATATTGTACATTACTACACAAGTAAGGCAGCGCATCAAAACAGAAAAGAAAAATATATTATTATCCCTTTTTTCCCCTATTATATTCCCCCTTATTTTGGTGACAAGTGCCTTGTGACTGGGCAACGCTTTGGGTGGGGAGCGGGCACTAAAGTTCCGTTGACGCTTTTATTCTGCGGCGGGAGAAAAAACTAACACAAGCCCAGGGTCGCTGGCTCAATGGGTGTACTCCCAAACCCGAGGGACTGGCAGAAGGGTAATGCGTAGCTCTCCTACCCATTGGACAAAGGAAAACCTATATAGGTGGTCCGGGACCAAGCTAAGCTAAGATTGTGGGTTCGAGTCCCACGTTCCTCGTTTCTTTTATTCGCAGTTATTTTTATTATTTTTGCAATTTTGTATCCTGGCAACTCTGCGCTTTATATATTAGGGGTGGGTGTATCTGCGCTTTTTTTTAATACGAGATTTTTGAAGGGAGAAGAATATACTACTATTGCGCGCCTTTGTTTGCTCAGAACTTAAACAACGCAGAGTAGCGATAATAGCGGACTTACGCGTACCCCGCCGCTCATCTGAACATACGCAACAGTTGAATCAAACTCCCAAGGGAGTGGTTCTCCGCTAATACTCAAAGGAGTATTCTCGCTTTCATCACGGTTGGTTGTCCAATTGCGCTCGAAGTTACCTCTATAGAAATGTCCCCTTCACTTGAGTTACCGCTTCTTTGTCCAGTTGTAGAAATGAATAGGACGAACTAATAATAACAACAAACTCAACATCATAAGGGTAACTAGGTTATTTAAACTAGTGAACTAGTTGCTCCATCTCCATCAAATCCCTCCCCGCAGTGCTGCATCTCTCACTGCTCAGCATTAATTATTACGTGACCACCATTCCTCCGAAATTCCTCCAAGTCCGATCTGCTTGGGCGGAGTTTCTGGACCTCGGCAAAACACATACGCTCACTAAGCAAGAATCGGCGATTCCTGAATTTTATTGATCGCCGCCGGAGAACCAGAGCTTGAAATCCGCGAGATACGAGTACATCGCCGCCTTCGCAGTTAAAATAGTGGATAGTGGGACAGCGGATAGGGACATACAACTGTTAAATTTTGTCTTCTTGGCCGTGCTCCCCGGCTGCCAAAGCAGGAATTTATTTCTACTCTGTGAGGCTACCAAAATTATCTCAAGCGTTGTATTGGGTTGCCCAATTATATTATAGTTCAGGATGATTCGGGCCCGTTCTCCTCCTGTTTTTTCAGGCAATAATCATATTCTCCTTATTCTTTCGAGACGTCGCTTATCGTTCCCTACTTCACTTGCTTCTCGGACTTCCTCGTTACGCTCGTTGATTACATCTCAGCCTCTACACCTCTCGTATAGAACCAACTCGGGTATGTTATGTTAACCTTTTACCTTTCAACTTTCAACTTTCCCATCACATCCCCTTAAAGAATTATACGAAGTATTAATCACTCACATCGCCCGCCTATAGCCCAAACAGCTAATTCTTCTGCCCCACCTCCATATCCTCCCTCGTTCAGGAAACCTTCAATCTTCCGCCGTCTCGTCGGTTTCTCCGCCATAGCCATATTCTCCTGCGTGATAGGGATCACCATGAGCCCAGGGATGGCCAACCTGGTGCAGATCGTCGGCAAAATCCGTGCCGATGAAGAAAAGTCCTACCTGCCCCCTGACGATGTTGCGCGAGAAATCGATGAGTTCATCGACACGCACCCGCTAGCAAGCTCCCTCCGCGCAGACCCCCGTTTCTCAGAATCGAGGCCCCACTTGAAAATCCCAGACGAATTGCGCGCCCACAATCTCACCGCCGGCACTCTGTCGGGTACCAACAAAATTGCTGTGCCACCATATATGTGGACTGAGGCTGGCGGGAAGAGCCTTGTTTCCATGCTATATCTGGGATCTGATGTTTCGGGCCATCCTGGCCTTGTTCATGGGGGTTTACTCGCTACGGTTCTCGATGAGGCTTTGGCAAGATGCTGTTTCCCCGCTTTACCCAATGGTATTGGCGTCACGGCCAATCTGAACATCGACTACCGGAGTCCTGCGCCCGCAGGATCTTTCTTTGTTGTGCGCGCAGAGACAGTGAAGGCGGAGGGGCGGAAGGCATGGGTTGAGGGGAGAATCGAGACACTTCCCGAAGAAGGGAGAGAGCCTGTCGTTGTGGCCGAGGCGAAGGCGTTGTTTGTTGAGCCGAGAAATGTTTCTGTATGTGCTTTTGTGTCCCTTTCATTTCTGCCAACGTCTGGCTTTCTTCCACGCCTTCTACTTTTTCACCCCGCTTTGTTGTATGGTTTTAGCTGACACCACATTGCAGTCTCTTCCGCGCCTCTATAGAACCACATAAGACACATCGTCCGCTCTTCCAGCTCTCGATAATACACGAGAAGACATTTTCATTTTTCAGGTGTTTCCGCCATTATAGCAGAAAGACATGTTGGTTTATTGTTTTGAGATTTGCGGTTGTTCACGCATTTTTTGCCCTCAGATAGATCACGAGGATATACATTTCCGAAAGCTGAGTGCCATCAGCAATTATTAGACCGGCCTTTGCTAGACTTACGTTTTCCCCCCAGTTTTTAATCTTGCGTCTCATTTGTACTGGGTTGGATGCAAGCATAGACCTCATTTGCTTTCTGTGGGATTTCTAATAATATGGCGAGCATGTTCTGTCAACTTACATGCGGTGTTTATGTTATTTGCTGTTCACGTGTTATGGGGGTAGTTAAGGTTCTATACACATACTTTACTGTAGATTTTCAAAGCTGAGTATATGTTATATCAAAGCGAATTATGGTCAAAAATTATCTTAATCCTGTAATAGTATTTAAAATTCCACTGTAATTCACTTATTTATATAGATCCTGGGCCGGTTGAGGAATTCAGGAGTTGAGAATTTGCAGGTTGTTGCACCTTGACCTCTCTGCACAGCGTGATTGGTCCGTCATTAACAAACAGCCCGCAACGTTCGATACATACAGATACACTATCAACCACACACACCCAAGCCCCAACTATATATACAGCAACTACACTTCACCAACCACATAACAAACCCCCTACCACTTGTATTTTATACCCGATGCCCGCTTCATAAGCACCGAAGCCGCTGCTCTGGATTCCGTTCAACGGGATTATATATATACCTAGATAATGTCCAAGGAACCCAGATACATCCTCCTCTCCCTCCCCAGTTCCATCATCCCATCTCACCACCGCGATGATGCCCTCGACGCCATAAGTAAGACCATCACCCCTGATAATGGCGTGGTGATTCCCTTTGCGATTCCAGAGTTCAAGATCGGAACTTTAGATGCGCTGGTGCAGCAGGCAGATGAGCTGGCGAGGTTGGAAACTCTGTGCCAAGGTGTGGTTGGTAAAGTGTCGGATGCATTGAAGAGTGTGCTGGAGGGGGATGAGGAGCAGATATCGAAGATGAAGACGGTTAATGATAGTATGGTGGAATTGATTTCTTATTCCCAAATATCCTATTATGTTTATTTCTATGGAGGGTTGGGGATGTATGACTGAGTTCTTTTCCGGTATAGGACCTGTGGAGCAGTATCTACGGACTTTCCAATGGAATAAGGTCAAATTTCGGGCGGATAGATCGCTGTCGGAATTGATCGATCTGCTGCATAAGGTATGGAATGGATGATTTAGTATCCCTTTGGTCTGTTGGATTTTGCTAATGGACTGATTTACTCTTCGTTTATGTAGGAGGCTGCAAGCATCGACAATGACGTTCGTGGAAAGTTTTCACAGTACAACCAGGGCAAAACTACTCTGGCCGCACTACAACGGAAACAAACGTATGCTATACAGCCACTGACAATTTATTACTGCAAACTTGGTTCTAAACGATATTCTAACCACCCCAACTCACCAGAGGCACATTGACCACCAAATCCCTCGCATCCATCGTTGATCCACGTCTCCTCGTCCGAGACTCCGAATACCTCGAGACCCACCTCATCGCAGTCCCGTCACGAAACACAAAGGAATTCTTGCGAACCTACGAAACCATCTCGCCCATGGTCGTCCCGCGCTCCTCAACATTTGTCGCCTCAGATGAAGAATCCACCCTCTATGCCGTGACAACGTTTAAAAAACACAGTGCAGAATTCATCCATAAGTGCCGCGAGCATAAGTGGACACCCAGAGATTACAAATATGTTGAGGGCGGGGATGAGAAGGAGCGGAGAGATTTGGATCAGGCCAGTGCCGATGCTAAGAGGCTTTGGGGGGAGACTTTGCGGCTTGCGAGGACTGGGTGGAGTGAGGTGGTGATGGTTTGGATCCATGTGCTTGCGTTAAGAGTGTTTGTCGAGACGGTGCTGAGATATGGTCTACCGCTGGACTTTGTCTGTGCATTGATAAAGGTACGTGATAATTACTGGAGCATCCCTCTTCTTCTTCTTCTTTTTTTTTTTTTTTTTTTTTTTTGGGTTCAATTCACCCTTTCCGAACTATTGTGTTTCCCAATTCATCATTTTATCATGCAAGAAGAAGGGGAAAGAAAGAAAGAAAAGAAAGAAGAAAATACGATTCCCTTTCTGCTTACAAATGGAAAACAGACTACAAACAAACAAGCGAAAAAAGTCAAGAGTCTTCTCGACGACTCATACTCGTATCTCGCGGGTAACGCTTTCTCGCGCGACAAGAAGGGTCGTGTTCGAAAGGATGATCCCATGGATATGCATCATGTCAGCGGCACAGGCGATGGTGGAGCAGCCGAGTTTACTGCCTTTGTATATTACGAAATTGAGTTCGAATGAGCCAAAGCCATAGATACCCTCCCCTTGGGGTGGTGGCATAAGAAAACTGATATATTTTTCTTTCTCTTTTTCTTGAAATTCTGGATTAACGGCATAGCTACATTAGGAAGAAGGAAGATACATCATGAATATCTGGATCTTGCTTTTGCTTCTTTTAAATTCCCGTTTTCTTCCATTTCGGACTGGATTTGTAAGGTCGTCTATATTCCGTCCTGTGGGGTTTTTTAATTTCATTTCCCTCCTAATATATTGGAGACTTCATACAATAATTTTTTTTCTTTTTTCTTTTCTTTTCTTTTCTTTTCTTATTTTTTGGAGCTGGTTATTATTATTCCTGAACATACCGCTGTGTTTGCCTTCGATGGTTATTTTATATTTGGAACCGATTGTAGTACTGGACCCATTTTTAGACGTTACTCGCATTTGCTGGCATTTGCTATCTGTTCCTACATACCCTTCCATATCATGACTTTTCCTACGGATTCTGTTCAGGGTGTCGCATGCTAATCTATCGCCCTTATGAAGGAATTCTGATAGTTGGATTGTTGCGTGTTTTTCATTCTAGTCTCAGATGGTATCGACTTGTGATGCGATCGTCTTTCATAAATGCTATTCTTCCATGAGAGTGCATACCATGCACGATCCTTCTGTATAATGGATATATCCCTTACATAGACCGTTGATCCCGTTTTAATCCCCCTTTTTTTTAAAAAAAAAAAAAAATCGTGCACCATGCCCCTCATGCCTAACTAAGTTAACACTTCCATAAATCCAAACCAAACCGAAAAGGAGGAAAAGTCCAGTAAATATCAGAAAGCTGCTCTATCCCTCAATTCTTCTCCCCCTCCGGCAAATACCCCTTCTCCTTCAAATACCCAATAATCAGCGCAACGGACTCCTTAACCCCCACTTCATGACTCCGAATATGAATCTCCGGTTTCTTCGGTGCTTCATACGGGGCACTAATCCCGGTAAACTCCTTCACAGCCCCTTCCCTCGCCTTCTTATACAACCCCTTTGGATCCCTCTGCTCCGCCACCTCTACAGGGACATCGACATAGACTTCAATAAACGGTAATCCAGAGTCCTGAGGCTGTCCATGTACCGGAGCCGCATGCAATTGACGTGCTGTCTCGCGGTCCTTGCGATACGGCGAGATGAAGGAGGTGATGGCGATGGTGTTGCTGTCCGCGAACAACTTGGCGACCTCTGCGATACGCCGGATGTTCTCGTTGCGGTCTGTTTCGCTGAAACCTAGGTCCTTGTTCAGGCCGAAGCGGATGTTATCGCCGTCTAGTCTGTAGGCGGCGAGGCCGTATTGGGTAAGGAGTTGGTGCTCGAGCTCGACGGCTATGGTTGATTTGCCAGACGCGGAGAGGCCTGTTAGCCAGATTGTGAGGCCTTTTTGTTTGCGGAGGGCGGTGCGCTCTGCGCGGGTGAGGTGCGGTGGGTGGTAGGTTATATTGCTTTTGGTGAGAAGTTAGATTGGATGTGATGGGAGGGGGTGAAGGAGGGCGGGGGTTAGGGATGTGTACGTGGCCATTTTTGCTGGATAGAAGGGTCCTGTATTCCTAGAAGCGGAATTCGAGTAAGAGTGACTGACAAATTCTATGTGCCAATTGTCTCTTAAAAGCTGTTGTGACGATGTACTTTCGGGGACCGGCGTTTAAGCGGAGCGGGGTAGTTAAGGGAGGTGGGGTAGTTACGTAGTTGAATGCACCGAGAGAGGAAATGAAGGGGGCGACAATTGGGGCAAAACCGCTGGTAGCTGTGCAGAGTTTCTTGGAATACGTTTTGAAGGGGGATGACAGAGTTTATATGAGAGGAACAAAGAATGCTGCAGTGAGTGCTGCACACAGGCTTGGTCAACCAAATATCCGTGCTCAGTAGGTAAACTAGTTATCAAGTCAGCCTTTTCCAAGAAATGACGTGCTTTGGCATGGACCGACATCGGGTTTTATCGTGCGCAAGAAGGACGGACGCTATTTGATCAACAGGTTTCTTCCATTCGAGTGCTGTATATTTCTGCTCTCAGCGCCCGCGGTTAAAGACGTACAAGAAAACAGGAGTTGCCCTGTCTGTAGTTATCGATTGTCTTTTGAGCCATATGAGGAGGACGAAGATGTGAAGGATGCCAAGTTAACTACCCGCTAACTAAGGGGGAATACCCCAAACGAAAGCTGGACCATCCAGAAACGATTGCGTTCAAGTCCTCGTCAAAGATATATAAAAAAAAAAAAAAAAAAAAAAAAAAAAAAAAAAAAAAAAAAAATTGGAAAAAAAATGGAAAGTATGAAAAGGCTTGCCGTCGGGAGGCATATGAGAGATTGATAAGATACGTGAAATAACAAATCCATGGTAAAGTCGCCAGTGAGCTAAAAACCCTCAGATCCTCTTTTTTTTTTTTTTTTTTTGGATGGAAAATGTTATTCACCGTCTGTCTCATCGCAAGATAGGGGAAGCACGATGTCAAACATATAAAAATGCATCGAAAGGAAGTTTTTGGTCTCTGTGCTCTAACTAGCTCCCCCCAATTCCTCGCATCGCGCAACTGGACGCTCGAGCTACC